AAAGCGAGTGGAAGACCTCGGAAAATATGGAGTGATGGCATTAAGAACAGCCTTACAGAAATGAACATCAGTCTTAATAGTGCTCTTGACAGAGCTCATCAACGAACATTACATCTCCCCCCGACACTTCGATGAGGTACAAGGTGGAAGAGAAGAAGAAGAAGAAGAAGAAGAAGAAGAAGAAGAAGTAGTGTATATGAACATTTCTAAATAATCGAGTACAGTGGTGTACATGAAAATTTCCTAACTAATCGAGTACAGTAGTGTACATGAAAGTTCCTAAATAATCGAGTACAGTAGTGTACATTCACACACAAAGGCCGGTAGTCATGTGCCAATTTTTTTTTTAAGGGCAGTGTTTTCAAAATATTCTATATGACATAAACTCCATCCCCCTCCCCCTGTTTCCCCCTTAGAAAAAAGTTATGATTAAAAAGCAGGTGTGGAGTTATAAACTGCTAATGAAGACAAAAACGTCCTTTTTTTAAAGCGGCTAGTGTTAAAAATATTATATTTATAATAAAACTGGAGGGGGAAAACCCCGAATGTTAATATAACAGATTATCACGTACAACTACACTGAACTTAACAATTACGTGATTCCCCCCTTGAAACTTTTTCACACCCACTCCCCTTTTCAGGTTGAAAAACCACTGATCCAGGAGATTAATATTGTGAAGACAAACAATAATTTCAATTACCTTTCGAAATGAACCAAATGCTCTTCTAGCAGTAACAGGAACGGAGATGGAAAGCACAATAATATAAATATTCAATAAAATCTCCGAACGACACAATATTTTGTGCACTGTCTCACAGAAATCAACTATAGTTTCGCGTTGAATGAAAGAAAGAGTGTCCTTGTCCTTTGTCGTGGGCGAACAACAATATTCTGTTCACTGAATAAATAACTAACCCAGTTTTGTGATCCATTTCTGAAAGACAAACTCTGTGCCCCGATACCTTCCCGATAGCATCATGACTACTGTTCAGGGTATATGGTGCCTACATTTCATTGGTCCAATATAATTGACACCTGATTTGTTTTCTGTTTTCGTTTACCGGCTATAAAAATCTGGCACAAAATGCTGATTGTTCGTCCATTTCAGGATTTTAAAATACTCAAAACCCGTACTGAGAGAGAATGATGCAGCGGGGAATTGTCTGCGGGCTCTGTGAGCCACTCGAGACTCAGGAGGCGGGGATGGCGCGAGGCGAGTAGGTAGCCAGATAAAAACAGAAATCATCAATATGGAGACTTCGCTGGTTGTTGGAGAGGAATGGGAGTAGTTTGGGCTTGCCCTGGATACTGTAGAATTTTTTGTCAGATAGTTGTTATCGATCCAGGGGCGCATGAGCTTTCCGTTCTTTGACCCATATAGTGGAATTTACATGTTTTTGCAAGCTGTTCTCTTCCTCCATACAAGATGTTCCACTTGTCTGGTCTTGGAGGGAGCAGCATTCTTCTAGTCACGCTGTTGTAGATGATGATGATGATGATGATGGTAAACAGTTTCATAGGGGTGGTTACATAGCTGGCACTCTGGGGAGTGTTGAGGCTGTGTTCTGAGTCTGAAGATAGTGGCCTGGTCCCTCCTTGTTAGATCTTTCATGCTGTCATTAGGATCAGGGCCAACCGTATGTATATAAACTTCTCTTCCAGTGTCTCCCATGGCCCATCTGTTCAGCCAAGTCTCTTTAGTTATATTTATTCTTATAAGTGTTTTTGCTGTCTGTAGGTTTGTCGCTGTAGGTGGTTGTTCTTGTGCTGCTTCTTTCTTTGCCAGTCTGTCAGCTCTGTCATTAACGGATGTGCAAGAGTGGCCTAAGATCTACTAATATCACTATTCTCTGATGGTGTATGCGTTATTGAGATGATCAGCATCTAGAAAAATCTTGGCTATGTCAGTTCTGCAACGTTCACTGCCTACAAGAGCTTGTAGAAGGGACATTGAATCGGTAAAGATGACAATATTTTGGGCATTTGACGGATAAACATCCATTACGGTCTTTCTGTTGTATATCGCTATTTCCAGAGCAATAATTTCAGCTTCATAGTTTGAGCAGCATTGCACGCATGCATCAAAAATCTTTTCAATAGATCCATCAGGACAATTCCGTAATCTGCTTTTGTGGTAGCTTTGAATGCAGAGCCATTAGTATAAACATGCATGCGTTCTTCGGGGTAGGAAGAAATGGTCTTTAGCTATGAGTTCATAAAGATGATTAGGTCGGACTTTTTGGTTTCTGCGTCTACCAATTGAATCCGAACTTCTGGAGCTTTAAAGCGAATATGTGGTGGTAAGTTTTATGCAACATTCTGAATGCCTTTGACGTCTTTCTGGTAGGTGGTATCTGTCCTTCTCACAGTAGCCTTACCTGCAAGCCAAGCCTATCATCTTGCTCATTTTCTTATACACCTGCATGACCCGCAGTCGATAGTAGACTCGCTTTCAAATTCAGCTACGACTCGCTGCAGCACACGACCGGTGTTCAAAACCGGGCGGTTCCCGGAGTTCGTCCAGACTCTAGGAAATGAGTACCAGTTAACACTCTGGGGTAAATGGCAGAACGTCGCCGTAGCTACAGAGCTTCGTGCAGACGTCCACACAGGCAGGCAGTTTCTTATCAGCTGTTTGTACTGGTGGCAGAGCACTTATTGTTTATAACCGTGTGCAATGACGCTGGTTCACATCTCCTGACTTTACTTTTACTCTTTATGACCTGTCGCTGAGAAGGTATTCCTGAACATGGCACACTTCAGACCCAGCCCATCTATCTTCCTGAGCCTAGTCACTGGGTCACTGAGAAGGTATTCCTCAACATGGTACCCTGTGACGCCAGGTTGTGATTTCTTTTCTGCCCAGCACATCCAGGTTTAGCAAATCCCTAATTAGATAACTTCTGCCACATGCAGGTTAGCAAAGCAGCAGCAATTCAGAAAAGACAAGACAGGAAAAACACTGAAGCAAATCACCAGAGAGGCCACCTCAATTCCCTGTCCACACTGCTCAAGAACTTTTAAGTGCTAGAAGTGATGGCCTTATCAGCCATCTGTCTGTGCACTCACAAAACCTAATCTCAGTCTCACCAGAGGATGAAAGGACTAGTCATCATTAACTGTCATGGATGGACAACACCACCAGTTAACAAGGCAGTGGATCTGTTCTCCCTACCCCGATCCCTCCTCTTCCAGTGGGACCTTGGAGAGCTCGTATAGAGGAAGTCTGTTTATGAGATACTTCTACAGCCAGAAGAAGAAACATCAAAGATCAGAGAACAAATAAATACAGACATGGAACAAATAATACACAGAGGAAAACAAATACAGAGAAAAAAAATAGAAAACAAACAAATACAGGGAGAACAAATAGGAACAACAGAGGACAAACAAAAACAGACAAAGAACAATTAAGAATAGAGGACACACACAAAAATATAGAACAAATAATAGACAGGGAACAAACAAAAATAGATAAAACAAATGAGAACAGAGGACAAACAAAATCAAATCGAACAAATAAAAACAGAGGACAAACAAATACACACACACAAAAAAAGAAAATATAGCAAACACATACAGACACAGAACAAAAAAGATTAGACAGAGGAAAGACAGAAACAGTCAATGAACTCTTATCACATTTAAAAAAAAAAGAATCCCTCCCCATTCACAGATTATAAAACTGCAAATATCACCCATAATGTGTTCTTTCAGTCAGTTTATTACATGAAATTAAAATAATCTTTCACTAAATTCATCTCAAGATCAATCAGTAATAAAGCACAATCAACCACATGTAACACACATACACATGCATGCACATACAAACTGGTCTGAAACAAAGCATCCTTGAGTATGAAAATATTACTTCATGAAAATCTGGCTACACGTCCCGGTTGGGCATCCGTTAGGCATTTGTAAACATTCAATAAATAAACAGCTCTAAAGTCACTGCAGGCACTCTTGAGAAATATATTTAGAAAGTCACTTTTAACTAAAGCTTCTCCATGAGTGGCCATACACCAACAACTGACCAGAAGCTGGCACAAGCCCATACTGCCTCATACAGTCACAACCACACAAGCTCTACACACAAACCCCTGTTGCCCACAAACTAACCCAGTTACAGAATCCAGCATCCTTGTAATCACAGGTCATAGTGCTCACCCATGTAATAAACCTCATGTCCTCATCCTTATAGTCAATCATTCCCTGGATTTAAGAGGTCCACATTTCCTGGATCTGAGATGTCCACATTACCTGGATCTAAGACGTCCACATTCCCTGGATCTAAGACGTCCACATTCCCTGGATCTAAGATGTCCACATTACCTGGATCTAAGACGTTCTACATTCCCTGGATCTAAGACGTCCACATTCCCTGGATCTAAGACGGCCACATTCCCTGGATCTAAGACGTTCACATTCCCTGTGTGAGTTTCAGGGCCCCATTTTGGGCGAACAAAGAAAAGACTGCTTCCCTTCCAACCCCCCCCCCCCCCCCCATTTTTTTTTTCAGGATGTTGTAAAGGCCAACTAATAAAGGGTGTTGCCTTCAAAGTTAAAGTTCATTTTCCAGGGAGGTGAAGAACCAACAGTCTGCATACAAATGAGCTAGAACTGTGAAACAATGTGCAGGCACAACCAAATTTCCAGAACGAGACCATAGTCAAGAAGTGGGTGAACAGCAGGAAATTAACCCCTAAGAAAAAGAAGTTATTCAAATAATTCATTATGGAACACAAGATGTTGCAGCAACAAAAGGGAGAGAACAGATTAATACAGCTAGAAAAGTCACAGAAAAAAGATGGTAAAAACAAACGTAATGGAGGTATTAAATGCTTGATGGCTAGCTTGGGGTGGAGAGTACACACAGCGGGTGTTATCAGGAATCAGGATAGATCCCTTACTGAACCCCCAACACACCTCACACTTTGATCCAGCCACCACTTCCAATTCACTCACACACACATTCACATGAATTGTTTCTTTTCTCTCACTGGGCCTTCCTGGGTTTCACTTTTCGCTTCACCGGTGATGATTCTGCACCCATAAACTCTGGGGGGATGGGGATATCAGAAGGGGAAGCCGCGGCTGTAGATGACGAGGACGATGCTGATGATGATGAAGCTGCTGATGGAGACTTCAGTGCTGTACTCTGAACTTGCTGGTACAAACCAAGGACATAAGGAATCACCTGGGGGAGAGAATAAAAACAGCATCAAATTAATTCACACATTCAATCTTTCATTCCCCTAAAAACAAAAACAAAAATAATAGAGAAGTTGTTTTTAAACTGGGATTTAAAAAATACATAGAAGATTTATCACTGGCAACCTTGAATGTGAAGAAGGCACTTCAAAAATCCTAAATCTGGAATCACCATCCTGTAGCAGATCTGTTGCAGAATTGCTTTTATCACGGTCTGCCTGAAAGAAACTTGGGTCTCTCGCCAGCTCTCCCACGTCATGCACTTTCATATCCAAGGAGTCACTCATATCCTTGCCCATCTTCATGCTGGTCAGCCCCTGTCCCTCCTTCCTGGTACCATGCCTTCTGCTTTTATTATTTTTGTACAGTCCACAGTGGTGCTGGATTTGGCCGAAATATTTCAGCTTGTGAGTCAAGATGATACTTTTCATTAGCCATTCTTCCTTGATGTTTAGATCTTTGAGAATGTCAGTATTCCTTCTCTTCTTTGTCCATGGTATTCTGAGAATCGTTCTTTAGTAATTCAGCTCAAAAGCCCCTACTATCTTCTTTTAAGAACTGGGAGATAGTCCACGACTCACATCCGTATGTTGCTACAGAGAAGTTGCTTGCTCTCAAAATTTTAACTTTGATTTCCTCAGACTGAAGTGTGCAATTCTTGGGCTTCTGTGTCTGAAAATAAAAGAGAGGATGGCAAATGGTGCTGTGGTTTACAACTAGGCTGCATTATTTGCACCTGTCAGGGGCCAGTTCGGCTATGGGAAGGATGATAGTGAATCATCACGTTTGAACAAGTTGACCTTCAGTACAACTCAGTATGAGAGCGGACAGTTTGACCACGCAATAAACTGGGTCCAGTTAACGGGCCAGGTCTAGTTCACTCAGGTTACACGGATTACTGCGTGTCAAACCGTGAACTCAGGCCGGAGATACAAAAGGCTTTGTCCGAGCTGGTTGAAGGAGAGTCGTGTGCTGGGAGAGGACGAGACAAGACGGAAACATTTTGACTAGGTAACGCTAGGTTTAGTGACGGTTAGTTGTAATAGGGTATTTGTATTTAGGATCGATGATAGGCTGTGTTTCTATGTAATGTTTCGACTAGATAGTATAGAGTTAACGTTCTTTGTGTAGTAGACATTCCATGCAGTATTTGTTTGAGCAGTTAATCAAGGTGTGACGCGCATTGTAATGGCGGTAACACTGCCCGGTCAAGCTTAGGCCATACACCATTACGTGTATCGCTGAGTCCCGTTTGGCAATAGACGGTGGATTAATTAGCACTGAGAAACTGTCAGCTAAGAGTCGTGTTCCTGATAGATCCATGGGAACTGGCCTGGGTTGATTAGTGATTGTAAAGCTGTCATCGCCAAGGGGGTTTCGGATGGGAACTGCTTGGCTCAGTTGAAGTGTTTAACGTCGTGTTGTTCATTGTACATTAAAGATTATGTTTGTACTCAGCAGGAGTATTGTCTTAAGTGTGTCTGGGTAGTTAAGTCTGTCAGCTGGCCTATCTAGCGAGCCATATAAATTAAATAGAGTAAATTAGGCCTCTGACAGCACCTTTCAGTCCAATAATTCAAATCAGCAAATCCCTAATTAGCTTCCTTTTATGACATGCTTTTCACAAGGGGCCACAGGTTTATTCTTTCTCCCCCTCAGAATGGGGCAGCAGAACCCACATGGGGAAAATCAACAATACAGCAGCTATGACTTACAGTGTTGTAGTTGTAGGCCAGGGCGATGACTATAGCAACAAACGGCAGAAAGAGGAAGGAGCCCTGGTTGAGATCTTGATCAACTGCTCTTGGCTGGAGGGAAAAATAAACAAGACAGAATAAACAATTAACATACATTTAGACATTAACAATGAACATTACAGAAAATGGTTTCAAAGCAATGTTTCCCCATTGAAATTTGAACAAAGAAGACACAAACAATAGATTGCAAAATTGATTGCCTGAGCACACTCCAGTATGGGTAGAAAAAGCCATGCAGAATATTTAAAATGCTAATACTGGTCGCAAAGATCACCTCTCTGCAACAGCACGCCATCTTCTAAAATCAGGTCATGTGGTAGCTAAGGACAACGCTTTTCAAATCTTTCGTTCGTCAACCAAAGGCAGAACGCTAAGATCTCTCGAAACTTCCGCAATTCGTCACCTGAACCCGGGACTCTGTATGATAAGATGATTCTGTCTGTACGGCTGCCCTGGTAAAAACAGGCAGTTATGTTTGGTCGTTGTTGAAATTGTACTTCAGTTATAAAGGATTCACTTATTTGCTTCATTTATATAATTGTTACAGTAGTATGCACTTGACAAGATACAGCGAAATATGCCAGGCAATAAATTGTGCAATCTATTGTTTGTGTCTTTTTTATTCCAATAAACATTAAAATCAATCAGCAAGACCTTGACAGAAGGCCACTCTTGTAGTCTCCTCCTTCTTGAGTCAATTCTCCAGCCTTCATGTGTTTTCACAGCTAATCTATTTTCTATGTACTATTTCCCACAAACTGTACCCTCCATCCCCATTCTCTCTAGGGAATGGTATTCAATGTATTTCAAGGTATTTCTATGGTATTTCATGGTATTCTATGTATTTCAAGGTATTTCTATGGTATTTCATGGTATTCTATGTATTTCAAGGTATTTCTATGGTATTTCATGGTATTTCTATGGTATTCTAGGTATTTCAAGGTATTTCTATGGTATTTCATGGTATTCTATGTATTTCATAGTATTTCTGTGGTATTTCATGGTATTTCTATGGTATGATTAGAATTTTTCTCGGCATTTCAGTTAAAAAGCTGCTACTGTTTTTTTTAAGATCCAGTAAGAATCCATAAGTTGCCATGGAAAAGATGTGTGATCTCAAAGGAACATACATGCAAATATATAATAAATATTTAAAAAACCAGTCATAATAGATAATGCGACTTTCTAGAAAATAAAAGCACAATTGTAATACTTTGATTTCAAATAAGAAAAGTGGCTGGTCAAGCAGTTACTTCTTCATTCACTGGCTGTGAGCTCCAGCAGAAATACCTGTTTGTTCATCCATTTGGAATTAGGCTTTGTGCCAGGGCCTGAGTTTTGTGTGTACAGTTTTGTTTAACAGGCTTATGTGTGTGCAGCTGGTTGTTCCTTGCCCCTCTGGCAGACACACTCTGACTTCAACAGAAGCTCCCAATTAGTGGAGCTCCTATGAGATGCTTGTTGGGAAGCAGTGGGTCTATTCTTGTTTTCTCCACAATGGAACCCAGGAACCCACATGGGGTTCAATGTCGGGCTTTCAGGCGGGTTCGACCCTGGTAAGATGGTGGAGTTTTTGAGTGGAAATATCCTAACCTGTACAGCCTGTGGTGATAGCATGAGCCGTGCAGCCCTAAATCTTTAGGCTCACGACCCTGTGTCTTAAACATCCTAAAATGTGGTGAGTAGAGACAGTAGTGACAGTAACAGATTTTCAATAATGAAGATACCAGCAAAGACTGTGCAACTGATTGTCTAGCATATTTTGATGTAGTCTGGTGCACACAACAGAATTAGCCCACATTTTTCTTTAATCGGGGAGGGGGGATGGGGGGATAGACCCACTACCCTTTACCAAAAAGGCAACTTTGGTTTGCTGAAATAAGATGTGCTGAGCCCAAAGTTGCAGACATCACAGCCTAGCTGTAAGCTACAACATAATGTGCCAACCACACTTCTAATTTTCACACACAGAAGAAGATCATCACTCAAAAAAGCTCAACACTGAACTGTTTGGCTGAACTGTCTGCTCTGTGGCCAACTCGATGCGAACGCTTCGCTTTGTAATGCCGGGATGCCAGGTTCGATCCCAGCTGTGGGCATTGCGCCTTGCGTTGGTTTCGACAATGGTATCAAGAAAGCCGACCGTCCATAAAGCAATGGCAAACTACTGGATGTAACTTGCCTAGAGAAACAACACAACAGCCAGGGGCTGTAGGGGTTGGTTCTGCAATGTCCTGTAAAGGATACGCAACTAACTTTGGCTGAACTACACAACACAAATAGTCCCATTTGTCAATACCACAGATGCCTGTGAAGGGAAACAGAACAAAAAGGAACTGAACACCCCATGTCATACAGCAGGTCTAGAACACAAGAAGGCCCAGCACCCCACAGCCCAGTGCAGTAGCTGTTATGGGATGACCTCAGATGTTTCCAGAATGAAACAGTTGCTTCTGGGTTCATCTGATAAACATTTGTTTACAGATCCATCTCCTACAGATATTTGTTCATTGCAGTATATTTATCAGCTTTTCAACTGATCTCAGCACTGAGGAGAACTGGCTCATAAACAGCATCCTGTCCCAAAAATTGCACAGGCCATGTTAAACATCATGGTGGCCTCAAAACAGCAGTAACAGAGGGTCAGGTTTCCAGAAAACAAGGCCAAGGCAGACCTCCTTGAAGGTGAACACAAGATATCAAAGAAGCACTAGCTATCAAAGCACACAGTGCTAGAGAATTGGCTAAAGAAAGAGGGACATGAAGAGAGCAACGCTCTATTAGGAACCTGTTGACTGATAACAGCTATTATAATTCTGCTGACTTCATTGTTAAACGTCCACAGTTATTTACTAACTCCAGTGCTCAACTGTTACTGATATTTCTGTCACCCAGACATACATGTGAAAGTATTTGTATCCACTGCTAGTTACTTTACCTTAGGGTTAAACTCAAAGGTGAAGTGTCTGTGAGACCTGTTGGCAGGGAACTCTACAGAAGACAGCTTGTAGTCGTACTCAGACCTGGACAAACTGCTCTCCAAGGAAAGTAAATAGTTCTGTGGGTGGCAATGTGGAAGAATATCAGGAAAATAGTATGTCACATCATTTTAAAAAAGAGACAACAACTTTTTAATTATCCCATACACCATACAATCACCTCAAACAGCACATGATCACCTCAACAGCCCACAGTCACCTCAAACAGCATTCAATCATCTCAAAAAGCACACAATCACCTCAAACAGCCTACAATAATCTCAAACAGCATAAAATCACCTCAAACAGCCTACAATCACTTCAAACAGCTTACAGTCGCCCCCAAAAAGCATACAATCACTTCGAACAACAATCACCTCAAAAAGCAAATAAACAGAACAAAGGGACACATCAAACAACATATAAATCCAACGAACACCTGGTAAGCAATCAAGCAACAACAAGTCTGTTACATTCATCACTTACCTTGTTGTCGATCACCAACGAGGGCAGGTAGAAGAAAGTGGATTTGCTGAGAGAAATCGTCTGTATGGGTGTGTCCGGCTGGGCCTCGCTGACCAGGCGAACCTATTCAAATAATAAAAAATAAAAATACACACAAAAACAATGATAAAAATAAATTACATTGCATACCTTCATGTACAGATCTCTGAGTACAACCTCTGTTACATGCCTTTATGTACACATTTCTGAGCACAACCTATGTTACATGCCTTCATGTACACATCTCTGAGCACAACCTGTTACATGCCTTCATGTACACATCTCTGAGCACAACCTGTTACATGCCTTCATGTACACATCTCCAAATACACAGCTTATGTGATCAGGGAGGCCCCATTAGGAAGTCACTAGCAGTTTATACCCTGTGCAGATAAGACAGTCTTAACAAGGCTGTAAAGTACTTAAACATCATAGGGTAGAATGAGGGAAGATTGTTCTACCTCAGGGTAGATAAAGGAAAGACTAAACAAGATTTACAATACCTCAACACCCCAGGGTAGAAGAGGAAAGACTAAACAATACTGTAATACATATATATATATATACTCTATGAAAAAGGAGACAAGACTATGAAAGCATAAATCATACCTTTAATGTAGGCAGGAACTTGATATCTGTCTTGACATTGCCACTGATGTCCATCTGGCTCATGCGTCGGAAAGCAATGATGTTGATCTCATGTAAGTCAGAGGCTTCAACCTGTAACACATGATACACTGGACTGAGAATCTGTTCATGACAAAACCACTAACCAGCCAACTCTACTTTTCAGATGCTCACTTTTTCCCCATAGATGCCACCTTCTGATGACAGCGCCATCTATCTACATCTTCATGGGCACAAGTTATACTTCCTTCTCATCACAGTCCCATAACACTGTGTGTCGTTAGGAACCTACCACTGTTGACTGATCAGTTCCCTACACCTGTTTATTAAATGGATCACCAGCTGCAGATGACTGTGTGGTAAGTTCTCTCCACCTCTGTTCATTAGATGGGTCACCACCCACTGTTGACTGTGTGATAAGTTCTCTACATCTCTGTCTATCAACTGGGTCACCACCCACTGTTGACTGTGATAAGTTCTCTCCACCTCTGTCCATCAACTGGGTCACCAGCCACTGTTGACTGTGATAAGTTCTCTCCACCTCTGTCCATCAACTGGGTCACCAGCCACTGTTGACTGTCTGATAAGTTCCCTAAACCCCTGAATGTTAGATACAGTGAGCTTTGTTTGCCTGTTACTGGACAGATGTCACTAGTGCTGCACAATCAACACCAATAGAGCACCTCTACCGACACAATATTTTTACCAACACTGTGTTACCAATGACAAACATGGACATCATCAACAAAAGGAGAAACTGAAATAAAAATGAAATATCTAGTACAAATCCTAAATATAACTAGAAGAAACAGGATCAGTAATGATGATAACAGGAAATAAGTTGGGACAGCACCATTATTAAACTACTTCAATAGACAAAGAAGAAATGGCTTGGACATGTGTCAAGACTACCACCAGACCGTGTACCAAAGGCAGCCCTGTTGATCACAAACAACAGAAGCAGACCTAGAGGTCAACCACGCAAACGATGGATGGACGCAATATCTGAGGCCGTAAATATCAGCATCTAGGTAGGAAATACCCAGGCTCTCACCAGATACCTCTTCAAACCTGGACCCAGAAGGGCACAATTAGATTAGAGAAGAAAGAAGAAGGCTTGCCTGTTTGAGGCTTGTGATTTAGTCAAATTCCATATGCAAGCAATGTCTTGGTCTGCCTCTTCCCCTTCTACACAGCCTTGAAGTATTGTTCTGGACAGGTTGGTAGATCTTGCTACATGTCCGTACCACTGCATCTTCTGCCTTTTCAGTTGTTAAAAAAAAGTTCACAGCTGCCAATGTGTCGAGTGATTAGAGTGATTGCAGGGTGAACATTGTGTGGTGTGGTTGCTTATGATATACCCAGGATCTTTTCAAAAGAGCGTCCGTGGCTAAGGCGTTGCGAGTCCTACTCGTAATCCAACGTACCGCGGTCGAAACCCACTGCGGGCTGCGTGGATTTTTTTCGTGGAATGGGACGTTGCAGGTCAACCCAGCCTCAAATGGGTACCAGGATGGCTGTCCTGGGGAATAAAGTCGGCCGGCGTAATGCTGATAATGCTGACCACATTACCCACCAAGTGCTGACCAGTCTGTAAAAATATGGGTGCTTTTCCCATATGCCCGATGTGCATAAAGGCGTGAAAAGGGATCTTTACTTTACTTTTACTTACTTTAAAAAAAATCTCATATCCAATGCTTGTATTTTCCTTCTGAGTCCGCATTCTAAGTTCAAGTTGCACAACCGTAGGTAAAGGTTCTGACAGTTCATGCTTGAAGTAGAGGTTCATTTGTTTAACACCAGAAGTTTCTGGATCTCCATTATACTTGATGTTTTCCTGTTCTGACACTGTCTACATAGCAGCACTGTCAGTTCTTTTATAATTACTGTCACATTTTTACGACAGCATCATTTACACAGCAACATAAACAGATGACTGACAATCTGTGAAGACACATTTCTGTACTTACACTGTCAGCTGTTATATAATTAATGTCACATTTTGACAAAAGCATCATTTACACACCAACATAAACAGATGACTGACAATCTGTGACGACACACTTCTGTACTTACACTGTCAGCTGTTTTATAATTAATGTCACATTTTTACGAAAGCATCATTTACACACCAACATAAGCAGATGACTGACAATCTGTGATGACACATTTTGGTTGTTGTAATGTCTACCCCATAAAAACACTGTTAGCTCTTTTATAATCACTGTCACATTTTGACAAGAGCATCATTTACACACCACCACAAACAACTGAATCACAAACTGTGCCGACATACTTATGTACTGACACTGTTTACATATCTAAACACACTCAGCTCTTTTATAATTACTGTCACAATTTGATGACAGAATCCTTAACACAAACAGACGACTGACAATCTGTGAGGACACACTTCTGTACTTATACTGTAGACATAGCAACACTGACAGCTCTTTTAGAGTTACTGTCACATTTTGATATTTACACACCAACACAAACAGATAACTGATAATATGAGGTGAGACACTTCTGTACTTACACTGACAAGCCTTGACTGGGGGGCAGTGCGCTCTATGTGTGTGTTCACGTCCCCTGATTTCAAGTGGATGTCGTAGGTACACTTTGGCTGCAAACAAGAAGAACATGTCTAAAATGTACACAAGAACATTCTAGCATGTTCAAATATACTTTTCCCTGTGTGACAAGAAGAACATGTCTAAAATGTACACAAGAACATTCTAGCATGTTCAAATATACTTTTCCCTGTGTGAGTTCCAGGGCCCCATTGTGAGGCAAACAAGAAGAACATGTCTAAAATGTACACAAGAACATTCTAGCATGTTCAAATATACTTTTCCCTGTGTGAGTTCCAGGGCCCCATTGTGAGGCAAACAAGAAGAACATGTCTAAAATGTACACAAGAACATTCTAGCATGTTCAAATATACTTTTCCCTGTGTGAGTTCCAGGGCCCCATTGTGAGGCAAACAAGAAGAACATGTCTAAAATGTACACAAGAACATTCTAGCATGTTCAAATATACTTTTCCCTGTGTGAGTTCCAGGGCCCCATTGTGAGGCAAACAAGAAGAACATGTCTAAAATGTACACAAGAACATTCTAGCATGTTCAAATATACTTTTCCCTGTGTGGGTTCCAGGGCCCCATTGTGAGGCAAACAAGAAGAACATGTCTAAAATGTACACAAGAACATTCTAGCATGTTCAAATATACTTTTCCCTGTGTGGGTTCCAGGGCCCCATTCTGCCTCAAAGGCAAAGAACCAAGAGTCTGCACTAAATAAGCCAGATCTGTGAAACAGATGTGCACACAATGCTCAGGTTTTGGGGGGGGGGACTAGTCCAGTGGAGGAGGAACACCCAGAACTTTCCACTGGAGTTTACAGCAGAAGAAGAAGAAAGATAATTTTACGAAACCTAATTGTCTGATATAAAGTTCTGATGAGTTTATTACCATCTAAGGCCAGGAGAACAATTATTTGCCATGGCAGTCTCATGTTTTGTTTATGAGCTCTGCCAAATCAGTTCAAAATTTCTGTAATGATCCAAAGTTCAACTTTCTGTAATGACCCAAAGTTCAACTTTCTGTAATGACCCAAAGTTCAACTTTCTGTAATGATCCAAAGTTCAACTTTCTGTAATGACCCAAAGTTCAACTTTCTGTAATGACCCAAAGTTCAACTTTCTGTAATGACCCAAAGTTCAACTTTCTGTAATGACCCAAAAGTTCAACTTTCTGTAATGACCCAAAGTTCAACTTTCTGTATGATCCAAAGTTCAACTTTCTGTACTGACCCAAAGTTCAACTTTCTGTAATGATCCAAAGTTCAACTTTCTGTAATGATCTAAAGTTCTGGCTTTCTTATGAGGTGGGAACTTGTGAATTTAATTTCCCGTGGTCAAGAAGAGGAAACCCTGAGATAAAAATAGGATGATTGTTGTATGCAAAATCAATGTAGGGTATAGAGTTAATGAAGCCAGTGCTTTGTAAAGCACAGGTACAGGCATTCATTCTGTAAAAAAGGTACAAGTAAGGTGGTGAGATGTGAACCAGCATCACTGCATGCAGTTATAAACCATAAGTGCTCTGCAACCAGTACAGAAAGCTGATAAGAAACTGTCCGCACGCAAACTTTGTAGCTACAGCGATGTTCCTCCATTTACTCCAGAGTGTTAACTCTGGTACCCATTACCCAGAGGCAGGGTGAACCCCGGGAACCGCCTGGTTTCGAACACCGGCTGTGGGCTGCAGTGAGTCGCAGCTGGATTTGAAAGCGAGCCTCCTATCGACTGCGCTAATGCGACCCCTACGGTACACACATGTCGTAGTTATAACCAATTCATGTATGTGTGTGTGTGCGGGTGACAAGAAAATAACAGGCAGGAAATGTGAGAAAGAGAGATGACAGGAACAAGGAAACAGTAAGAGGGAGAAAAAAAGAGACAGTGATGGGTGGAGGAAAGTAAGACAGGAAGATAACAACAGCAACAAAATTGGTTCAAGGGTTACAAATGGGACACTCAAGCCCATCATACATTTGGCCCTTCGAAACACTCATCATTCAGACCACAATTGTATGATTCCAATGAATGTCAAATAAGAAAAAAAAACAGACACGTTAAAAAAAAAATGTGAAGAAGAGAAGAGCAACAGACAAGAGAAAAGTAGATTAAAAAAGAATAGCAATAAGATGAAAACAGAATGAGATAATTTAAAAAAAAAAAAAAAAGTGAGACTGATGCCCACTGACCTGTAACCCCCGTATCCTGTAGGAGCCGTCTGCTTCGGTCTTGCTCTCCTCCTGATACTGCTGGCACTCCCCCTGGCCCAGAGCTTCGATGATGAGATGGGGCTCAGGCTCTCCATTCAGGGAGGTGACTTTACCAAAACAACTGTCAACATGATCAATCATCAGTGTAGGTCAAAGGTCCCAAATCGGAACAAGTCAATCATTTCTCATATTTAGGCTCTATTTTATGTGATCTAGGGTCCAGACCTGAAACCGTGTCAAGGACTGCCTAGTCATCAGTCCAGCAAGTATTATGGAGATCCCACAATATTTCAGGTGAAACAAAGTTACGACTACTCAGAGCTCTAGTAATGAGTACACTGACACATGCCAGTGAAATGTGCGCCTCAACATCTGAACTCCGAAAGAAGATACAAGCTCTGGAAATGTGATCTTACAGAAAAGTTCTTGGCATAACATACAGAGACCACATCACAAATGACAAGGTTAGCAGCATAATTATCCAGCATAGTGGCGACTATGAACCTCTTTCAACTACAGTGACAAGGAATTAAATGCAACGGTGAGACATTTATTAATAATATCAGAGAGCAATTGCCTTAGAGGTGAGGAACAAAAACTCTGCATTCAAGTAAGCCAGATCTGTAAAACAGATTTGCACAGGACTTTGTGCTAGAGTATAACGCCGGCGAAGAAGAACAAAAAGAAAGAAAATAACTCACACAGACACATCTACAACTGTTGTTGTCACTTCAGGAGGATGAACCACCTGGCTAATGAAGGCTTGCCCGTTTGTCACGTGTCTGGTCAGGTCTGTGTCAGATGTTGGCCGCAGGCTGCAGTGACTGTAGCAGTAATTAAGGTTTTAACATTATTCACTGCAAATGGGTCACCCAAGTACTCCATTCCATGGCTAGTCAAATGGGTCACCCAAGTACTCCATTCCATAGCCAGTCAAATGGGTCACCCAAGTACTCCATTCCATGGCCAGTCAAATGGGTCACCCAAGTACTCCATTCCATGGCCAGTCAAATGGGTCACACAAGTACTCCATTCCATGGCCAGTCAAATGGGTCACCCAAGTACTCCATTCCAAGGCCAGTCAAATGGGTCACCCAAGTACTCCATTCCATGGCCAGTCAAATGGGTCACCCAAGTACTCCATTCCATGAACAATCAAATGGGTCACCCAAGTACTCCATTCCATGGCCAGTCAAATGGGTCACCCAAGTACTCCATTCCATGAACAATCAAATGGGTCACACAAGTACTCCATTCCATGGCCAGTCAAATGAGTCACCCAAGTACTCAATTCTATGGCCAGTCAAATGGGTCACACAAGTACTCCATTCCATGGCCAGTCAAATGGGTCACCCAAGTACTCCATTCCATGGCCAGTCAAATGGGTCACCCAAGTACTCCATTCCATGGCCAGTCAAATGGGTCACACAAGTACTCCATTCCATGGCCAGTCAAATGGGTCACCCAAGTACTCCATTCCATGGCCAGTCAAATGGGTCACACAAGTACTCCATTCCATGGCCAGTCAAATGGGTCACCCAAGTACTCCATTCCATGGCCAGTCAAATGGGTCACCCAAGTACTCCATTCCATGAACAATCAAATGGGTCACCCAAGTACTCCATTCCATGGCCAGTCAAATGGGTCACCCAAGTACTCCATTCCATAAACAATCAAATGGGTCACACAAGTACTCCATTCCATGGCCAGTCAAATGAGTCACCCAAGTACTCCATTCCATGGCCAGTCAAATGGGTCACCCAAGTACTTCATTCCATAGCCAGTCAAATGGGTCACCCAAGTACTCCATTCCATGGCCAGTCAAATGGGTCACCCAAGTACTCCATTCCATGGCCAGTCAAATGGGTCACCCAAGTACTCCATTCCATGGCCAGTCAAATGGGTCACACAAGTACTCCATTCCATGGCCAGTCAAATGGGTCACCCAAGTACTCCATTCCATGGCCAGTCAAATGGGTCACCAAAGTACTCCATTCCATGGCCAGTCAAATGGGTCACCCAAGTACTCCATTCTATGGCCAGTCAAATGGGTCACCCAAGTACTCCATTCCATGGCCAGTCAAATGGGTCACCCAAGTACTCCATTCCATGGCCAGTCAAATGGGTCACCCAAGTACTCCATTCCATGGCCAGTCAAATGGGTCACCTAAGTACTCCATTCCATGGCCAGTCAAATGGGTCACCCATGTACTCCATTCCATGGCCAGTCAAATGGGTCACACAAGTACTCCATTCCATGGCCAGTCAAATGGGTCACACAAGTACTCCATTCCATGGCCAGTCAAATTTGTCACCCAAGTACTCCATTCCATGGCCAGTCAAATGGGTCACCCAAGTACTCCATTCATTGGCCAGTCAAATGGGTCACCCAAGTACTCCATTCCATGGCCAGTCAAATTTATAGACAATGTCCATATGGAAATTAGTGTGCAAACAGCAAAATCCTGAAACTGGCACAAGCAGTAAATGCATAAGGCAGTCGCTGGAGGTGCCAACACAACTGGCAATAAGTCTAAAACTTAGAATGCCTGTAGCAATTTTATCAATTTTTATCATTATTTTTGTAATTAATTTATCAACTGTAAGTATTGTCCATTATGTCTTTTTCTGCTTTTGTGATGACTTCCCATGTTCACAGCTCTCTGATGTATTATTTATATCTTGTATTTTGAATGTGAATCCACATCAATCTAGGATTGTGTGGCTATGAATGATATTGTATAAAGAAGCTGCTGAGCAGACACAGTGCAACATACCTGAAAGCAACTCTGGCCCCTTTGATGGTTATCTTCTCCGTGCTCCCTTCCTGGACGTTGATCATCTGTGATGCAGGTTCGAACCTGTACTCCTTCATCATTGGTCGCAGAAAGTACTGCCCTGGACTCTGTATAGGGAAATAAAATCAAGTAATGACAGCCTCTGCAGTTGTTTGTGAAGGTGACTAACCTGTCACCTTCAATAGTTTGGCCCAAATCTTCTTCTTCGTGTTCGGTTTCATATGCTCCAATCAGACCATCAAGTGGGTTGCCTCTATATTTTGCTCTTGAGGCCAGGTGTCTTTTCAAAGTTGTAGGTAGATTGGGCAGGTCTGCAGAATGTGCTCAGGCGTTTGTGGTCCTGTTTGACAGTCACACTGTGGGGACTGTACAATCTATATTTTTTGCTGGCCCAAATTACAACCTTCTTCTTATGTCCATACCACAACCTCAAGCCTTAAAAGACAACCTTTTCACTGCCTTCAGGCATACTGAGCACATAGGACAGCTCAGTGGTTTATGTATTCAACATCACGCTGACCTTACTTACTTTCCCGGACTTTCTTCTTCTTCTTCTGCCTTTCTATCCCCCAATGGAGCATAGGCCCTCAACCAACTCACGCCAAGTCGTTCTATCCTTCGCCATTGCATGGAGCTCTCCCTTTTTAACCTCATTCTCCAGCTCTCTTCCTAGCTGAGAGGAGGTACGTCAACGATCCGGACTCCTTACGGCTTTCTCCACACCGTGCCATACTTCTTCTATTTGAAGAGCCTCCCCTCATCTTGGTTGGCTGGATTTTATTTGCTTCTCTTTTTGACTTATCCATGGTTGGTTGGTTTTTGTGGCTATAGTTTTTACAGGATGAGGTAGCCAACCTCAAGCCCAACCCTACCCGTAGTCGCCTCTTACGACATGCCTGGTAGGGTGCAGTGTCACTATTCTTTGCTTCCCGTGAGGGCCCCGGTGACACACGGGCGTTCCCGGACTTTACTGGTACCCATTTAAGGCTGCGTCGACTTGGGAGACTAGGTCATTTCTTTAAAAATAAAAAGGTCAGGCTCCGCCAAGATCTGAACCCACAACCTTTGGTTGGGTAGGTAAGTATCTCACCATTACACCATGCCAGCTCCCTCTACTGTCCACACAGCCCCCCCCCCTAGACCATTAGTCATTGATAAGCTGCTCTATACTATGCCTACCTTCCATTCCTTTCAATTCTTAAAAAAAAATCAAAAACTTAGGCCACATTCAACATGTTGTTGGCAGTTATATTTGTGGTCTGGTTTGTTTGCACCACCTGCGTGGCTAAGACTGTGATAGCTGCACCATTTCTCTGGCTTTATGTTAGGTTCTTTATTAATATCCTACCCCAGATGACATCACAGGACAGTCCAACGTTTTAGAGTGTGGTAAGACGATAAAAACATCTAAAATTGGCCCTAACCCTAACGCACCTAAATCGCACGAGAAAGTGCAGCCTAGGTCCCATGGCTGCATGCAGCCTAGGTCCCACGACTGCATGCAGCCTATCTACCACCCCCTAAAATATAAGACTGTCCCGTGACCTGTGGATTTCCCCCTTTTGGGGTAGGATATTAATAAAGCACCTTATGTTCCTTTCCTAGTAGCTAGTTTGCTCCTTCCTGTCTGTGTCCCGATGTGTTCCTCTTACCTTATCTTCCTGATGTTTTTGCCTCATGGGGTTATTTTCTGTCCGGTTTATTCTTCTTATTATTATGCCCTTGTGTCCTTCAATGCGTTCTCGAATCTGTTCCTTTCTAGTCTGGCCATGCATTACTCTGCCTAACCCAAACATCTGTCTCCATGTGCTTGTTGTTTTTAGTCTCATTCTATTCCTTCTGTGCAGGCAAAACCCTAAACTGGAACAAGACTACAATCCACATGTGGACAAACAACCAGAACTTTCTGCTGGAGTTTACAGCCAGTGAAAACTAAGAACAAGTTTTGACATCTGGTGGAAATGTCCACTACATGTGTGTGTATCTTCCCTAACAAATGTCCACTTACATGTGTGTGTATCTTCCCTAACAAATGTCCACTTACATGTGTGTGTATCTTCCCTAACAAATGTCCACTTATATGTGTGTGTGTATCTTCCCTAACAAATGTCCACTTACATGTGTGTGTATCTTCCCTAACAAATGTCCACTTACATGTGTGTGTATCTTCCCTAACAAATGTCCACTTACATGTGTATCTTCCCTAACAAATGTCCACTTACATGTGTGTGTATCTTCCCTAACAAATGTCCACTTACATGTGTGTGTATCTTCCCTAACAAATGTCCACTACATGTGTGTGTATCTTCCCTAACAAATGTCCACTTACATGTGTGTGTATCTTCCCTAACAAATGTCCACTTACATGTGTGTGTATCTTCCCTAACAAATGTCCACTTACATGTGTGTGTATCTTCCCTAACAAATGTCCACTTACGTGTGTGTGTATCTTCCCTAACAAATGTCCACTTATATGTGTGTGTGTATCTTCCCTAACAAATGTCCACTACATGTGTGTGTGTATCTTCCCTAACAAATGTCCACTTACATGTGTGTGTGTATCTTCCCTAACAAATGTCCACTACATGTGTGTGTGTATCTTCCCTAACAAATGTCCACTTACATGTGTGTGTGTATCTTCCCTAACAAATGTCCACTACATGTGTATGTGTATCTTCCCTAACAAATGTCCACTTACATGTGTGTGTGTATCTTCCCTAACAAATGTCCACTTACATGTGTGTGTATCTTCCCTAACAAATGTCCACTACATGTGTGTGTCCACTTACATTCAGTTTCCTGGTGATGTTGTGTGCTCATTCATTACGATGGCTTTTGTAGTGGAGCCTCACTGACAATAACAACAGAAAGTAAGATATGCAACAGACAAACAAAATACAAGATACTTTGCAAGCAACTGTCAACTATGAAACATTTTCTCTGCTGCAATCACCCTTTAAAGGAAAAAAAATTTTAAAAAATTTTTTTTTTTTTAATATCTGCATCTTGTGATGCAACACATCTGATCTCAGCAAATCTTTTCATTGGTCATCTTTTCTTCTTCGCAATCACCAGCTGTAAACTCTGGCAGAAAGTTCTGGTTGTTCATCCACTTCTGGACTGCAGTCCTGATCCAGAACCTGTGTTGTGTGTGCATTTGTTTTACAAATCTGACTCATTTGTATGTGCACTGCTGGTTCCTTACCTCTCTGGCAGATGCCCTCCGACACTGAAGAAAGTTTCCAATTAGTCGACTCACACGACATGCTTTTGGATAGGCCGTGGGTCTATTCTTGTTTTCCCTATAACAGGACCCCGGAGCCCACACTGGGAAGTCATCTTTTACAACAGTGGCTCTCAACATTTCTAATGCTGTGACCCTTATGTCATGGCGACCCCCAAACAATTATTTTCCTTCATAACTTCAATGAAAATGTGTTTTCCTTTGGTCTTAGGCGACCCCTGTCAGAGGGTCATTTAACCCCAAAAAAGGGTAGCAGGTTGAGAACCACTGTTTTATAATATGCCTGTTAAGGAGTAGTAGGCTGATTTTGTTGTTCTTCCACCCAAGGAGGGAGCCCCTGAACCCACACTGGGGGTCGTGCAAGACAAAAAAAAAATGAAACAAGACTTACGAGGCCAGAGAAGATCATGCTGCCCTGTGCTCCAGTGACATTGTTGGACCGGTACTGCTTGTCTCCACTCAAAGACAGCAGCACATTAGGCAAGGGAAGTCCCTCCTCGTCCAGCATCTGAAATTACATAACAGAAAGGCATCAGTGAAGCTCACAATTTTGCAGACCAAAGTGCATAGGACACTTTTTACTGCAGAACATCTGGGAGGAAGGCGAGAGAAAGACCAAGAAGGAGAGGAATAAATGGTGTAGCTGAAACCTGCAAAAATACCCAAGCTATCAGAGAAGTGCAAGACAAATAAAGACAACCATGACACTGGGCTACAACCTGGTATCTGTGAGACAACACTGGGCTACAACCTTGTATCAATGAGACGACACTGGGCTACAACCTGGTTATCTATGAGACGACACTGGGCTACAACCTGTTATCTGTGAGATAACACTGGGCTACAACCTGTTATCTGTGAGATAACACTGGGCTACAACCTGGTATCTGTGAGACAACAAAACCATGACACTGGGCTACAACCTGAAGATTCACCTAGAGACAACAAACAAAACAAAAGAAGAATTGCTACAAATTACAAGTCTTTTGTTTTTCTCTACTGACAGTTGCACACTTCAGATGGGTTCAACTCTTTTTCTCTCTTTCTACCCATCTATCCTCTTCCCCCCTCCCTTCCGACTCTCTCATTTTCCCTGTCTCTCCCCCTTTCTCTCTATCTCTCCCTGTGCCAGTATGTGAGCAGTTCTTCACATAAGAGATCTGTTTAAAATGAAGATTATCTTTGCCAAGGACAAATAACAGCCTGCAAATCTAAAATCCCCTTTCTCTCCAGAACAAGTACCTGAACAGAAATCTCCCCGAGCTTCAAAGCCTGGAATGTGCTGGGGTTGTCACTGGCTTTAGAGAAGACAAAGCCTTCCTTGACTGCATCCACTTGATACTTCTTGCTGGCATGAAGAGGTCCCACCCTGTAACCAAACCACTCTTTCATAAACCAAGTCAAAAAGTCCCTGAATCTAATAACAAGAATCCAAAAGCATAAGTCAAGAGTCTATACACCACATCTTACTGTACAAGTAAACAGTCAACACACCAAATCGTATTTCACCAAGTCAACAGTCAACATACCAAATAATACTGAAGTCAAGACTATACACCAAATTTTACTGCACAGATCAATAGTCAATACATCAAATTTTACCTGCACAGGTCAATAGTTGATACACCACATCTTATTGCACAGGTCAATATTCGATACACCACATCTTATTGCACAAGTCAATACACAACATCTCACAAGTCAATACACCACATCTCACTGCACATGTCAAAGTCAAGACACAAAATGTTTCTGCACAAGTCATTAGTCAAGACACCAAATATTACTGCACACATCAATAGTCTAGAGACCAAATATTATTTCACAAGTCAATAGTCTAGAGACCAAATATTATTTCACAAGTCAATAGTCTAGAGACCAAATATTATTTCACAAGTCAATAGTCTAGAGACCAAATATTAATTCACAAGTCAATAGTCTAGAGACCAAATATTAATTCACAAGTCAATATTCAAGACAGCAAATTTACTGCACAATTCAAAAGTCAATACACCAATTCTGATTGCAGGAGCCAACAGTATTTGTCTTCTTCTTCACAACACATTCACTGCCTGTAAACTCCAGCAGAAATTCTGGTTGTCCATTTATTTCTGAACAATCCCTGGGTGGGTTCCGGGGCCCTGGTATATTAAAAACAAGAATAGACCCACTGCCTACCCAAAAGCATGTCGTAAGAATCAACTAATTGGGAGCTTCCTTCAAAGTCGGAGTGCATCTGCCTGAGAGGCAAGGAACCAACAGTCTGCAAACAAATTAGTCAGATCTGTCAAATGGATACACACGCAACACTCAAGTTCTGGAACAGGACTGCAGTCCAGAAGTGGATGAACAACCAGAACTTTCCCCTAGAGTTTACAGCTGGTGAATGCCAAGAAAAAGAACATTTTTGAACTCAGGTCTTGAACTTGAGTTTAGAATGCACATCCATTTTACACATCAGGCTTATTTATAAACAGACTGTTGGTTTCTCATCTCTTAGGCAGATGCATTCTGACTCTGAAAGAAAACCCTAGAATGTCACTAAGTACAAGATGCTTGCTATGGGCAGTGGTTCTATTCTTTTCAATCCAAAATGGGATCCCAGAACCCACACAGTGGGGAGTTGGGGTGGGGGGTCAATTGTCAATAGGCCCATTGTTCCCCGGCTGTTAACACCGGCAGATATTTCTGTTTTCTGTCCACTTGTAGACTTTAGTCTTGTTCCGGAACATGAGTTTTGAGTGGACATCTGTTTTGAAGATTTAGCTAATTTGTGAGCACACTGCTGATTCCTCAAAGGTTGTTGGAGGGGAGAGGGGGGTGGCAGTGGGTGCACCCTGGAACCCAGGCAATTAGTCAACACACCCAATGTGACAGCATAAGTCAATAGTCAACACATCAAACTAAACCAAATCTGGCTGCACAAGATCACTAAACAAAATCTTCTTGCATCAGTTAATGAACTATATGTTGTTCTAGGAGTCAATAGATCAAATCTTATTGTGTTTGTCAAAACCACTATATCAAATCATTTTGTATACTGAAGGCCAGGGTAAAGAAGGAGAGAGACATGGATGTCTTTTTTTACTTTTCATCCCCCACTGTGGCAAAGCCCTCAACCAACTCAGGCCAAGCTGTTCTATTTTTGTCAACATCAGCAGCTCACACTAAGTCCTCCCCATATAACCAGGTCTTTTAAAGATTCCTAGACAGAAAACCCAGTCATCCAGAGATTCACAGACAGAAAACCCAGTCACCCAGAGATTCACAAACAGAAAACCCAGTCACCCAGAGATTTACAAACAGAAAACCCAGTCACCAAGAGAATCACAAACAGAAAACCCAGTCACCCAGAGATTCACAGGCAGAAAACCCAGTCTTCCAGAGATTCACAGACAAAAGATTCCAATCTTCTAAACACTCACAAACAGAAAACCCAATCTTCCAGTCAACAAGCATACTTGTATTTGCCACTGCTGTCGGTGGTCAGCACCACAGGATCCATGCTGCCATCCTCTGCAGTCACTGTCACGGTGACACCAGCCAGGGGCGGGCTGATACTGCCTTCAATGAACACCCCACGGCGGCCAACCAGTTCCACAATGTTGCCAAGGCAAGAATCTGGGATCAGGAAAACACAAAACACATAAAGGCGTATCACACAACACGGTTAAACAACACATGATGGGATATCATATAATGAACACAGTTAAACCAGGCATAATGGTTCATGCAAAAGTAAAGGACCTTTTCCCAAACTCTAAAAAAAAAGATGGCTGAAAAGTCGACCATCCAACTAATTATTACATCAGAAAGCTATCCACAAAAAGAAATCTTATAGCAATCCGGTGGGATTAAGGTATCCACTGATGATACATTTGTATCCTCAGTGGTGCTATGGAGTCTGTGAGCTGTGTAAACATTCTCATTATATGATCTATGAAAGGAAACTGAGCACTTATGGAGATACCCAAGTGCAATATAAAAAAAAATTGTGTGCTAGCTGCTGAAGATGAGGACGAAGCATGCATGGGAATGCCCTGAGTGCTGTTATGACAATTCTTGAATCAACTGGACTCATGTCACAGGGGATGTTGCCAGACATGAACACTATACAGGTAGCCAACACAAATTTATAATAGTCAACCAACATTGAACGAGGGGTGATGAAAGAGGCCAGGGCAGCTGGCCTGGATTCCATCCATGATACTGAACTGATTGTACAGGACAGAGCTTCTGGGCACCTGGTGAGACTTGATTCGATTGCAAAGACTGCACTTCAAGAAACATTGGAGGGTAGTCAAAAAAGAGGAGGGCAAACGAAAAATACTGGAATGACGACATAAAGAAATGGACAGGACTCAGTTATCATTCACTTATTCATCAAGTGGAAGACAGAGAAAGATGGTGGGTTTTATGTGCTAGTGCTTCCATCAATACACCTCCACGACTCTAATGGGTCAAGGGTTATGTTATGTTACAGGATATAACAGAATAGAGGAGCTGACTGCGAGCCTTATGTGACACATAATGGCTGAATGAGCACAGAACTGGCGTTATCAGTCATCATACACTGAGGAAAATATTGAAGATGGTATTCTAATACTTATGGGTTTGTCCAATGTGCTGTGAGAATGATTTAATTAACCAATGAAAATAATCAGTTACTACATCATCATCATGCGTCTCCACAGATCACGATCCCTGGTTGCCTGGAACAGCTCTCTTGATAATATCCCTCCATGCCATCGTTTCAGTCCATCCAGCATCATCTCTTTTAGTCTGCCTCTACCCCTTTTCCCACTGATCTTTCCAGTTGTTACGATATTCTCCAATGTCTCTCTTCTCATTATGTGGCCAAAGAACAGTGTTTGTCTCTTTCTTCATCATATCATCTTCTCCATATCATCAGATGGAAACATATCTTCAGATGGAAAATGTGTAAGAGAGATTAAAAGCAAAACAGGTCAAGTGAAAACTGCATTTCAGAAAATGAAAAATATCTTATGCAAAAATCAGTTACAGACCAAACAAATTCAGTGAGAATAACTTTGGAAGAGAATCTATGGTTCTTTCATGATATCCTACCCCAGATTACATCACCGGACAGTCCAACATTTTAGAGGGTGGTAAGACTGGGTTTCCCAGAATTCCTGATGCTTTTAACAACCCCAAAACATCTAAAACTGGCCCTAACCCCAACCCACCTACACCCAACGAAAGAGTGCAGCCTATACATTCCTGACCTCTCGGGTAGATTCAATGGTTGTTGGATGGGGGGGGGGGGAAAGGGCGGTGGCTCAATCTTGCCCTGTCTCACGACTGCATACAGCCTATCCAACACCCCCTGAAATATAAGACTGTCCCGTGACCTGTAGATTTTCCCTGTTTGGGGTAGGATATTATTAAAGCTTCGAAGAAGCACATACCTCCGCTGACAAACACCTCCACAGAGCTGGGGTAGAACAGGAGACTAGCAGACTTGGCTGAGATGGTCAATGTCTCTCCTGACCTAAAAAAAATGGGATGAGATGTCTGTTAGCTTGTGTCCATGTTTCTACAATAAACCACTATATTTTCTAAACACAGCATTCACACAGACCCACTCTTGGGGCTACAGGTCAAATACTGAACACGTCCGACATGACTGCCTCTCCTCTGTACAGTCTTCTTCTTTTTATTCATGTTCTTCCTGAAAAGGGTCATTTCTGTGTTGTGGTTGACAGCAAGGCTGTGATAACTGTGTCCTTCAGCCAAGAACATCTGATTTCAACACACCCCTAATTAGTAATCGTTTACAATATGCATGTCCCGGGGACAATGAGTCTATTGTTTTTCCCCCAAAAAATGGGTCCCTTGAACTTAAAACATGTCTATTACTGCCGCCCCAAACCCCAAAAATGGGCCCCTGGAACTCACAATGGGTCTATTATATCCCCCACCCAAAAGGGCCCCTGGAACTCACAATGGGTCTATTATATCCCCCCCCCCCAAGGGCCCCTGGAACTCACAATGGGTCTATTATATCCCCCCCCCCCCCAGGGCCCCTGGAACTCACAATGGGTCTATTATATCCCCCCCCCCCAAGGGCCCCTGGAACTCACAATGGGTCTATTACCACCCCCCCCCCTTTTCCCCAATTGGTCCCTGGAACTCATAATAGGTCTATTATCCCCCTCCCCCCCCCCCCCACCCCTTCCAAGGGTCCCAGGAACTCACAATAAGTATATTATTCCCCCCCCCCCCCCCCAACACCACCAAAGGGCCCCTGGAATTCACAATGGGTCTATTATATCTCCCCCCCCCCCCCACCAAAAAGCCCCTGGAACTCGCAATGGGTCTATTACACCCCTCCCCCCTTTTCCCCAATGGGTCCTTGGAACTCGCTATACAGTGAGCTAAGGCAGCTATAATGGCCTACTGACAGTTGTCATACGAACACAGCCTTGTACAAGTCAGAGAATTCACAAAAACCCAGCCTCACACAAACCCAGCCCCCGGCTGAAGCCATAAGAAACAAATGGATCACATGCTGACCTGGTCCAGTGAGAGAAGCTGTAGACTGTTGTAGTTGACTGTTTCTTCCCATCTTTGTCCACCCCATCCCCAGGCTTGGCTGCCGCAGCAGCAGTGGCTGTCACATTTGGCTTCAGTGGGCCTAGTGTTGTAGGGACATCATCCACTGAGGACCTGCAAAATGCCAAAGTCAATGACAATACAGACCACAAATCTCTTTGTAGAGACAGTTAAAATATAAGAAATGCGATTGACTGATTTCAGTACACCAGGTTTATCTCTTAGGTTTCAGTCTCTCTGCGTATAATTTTCTTGACTCATTCGAGGATGTAACTGTGTTGTGCCATTTTACAACATGGCTGTTATATTCAGGTCTTCCTAGGGACACATCCAGCTTCTTCAGGCAATAGTTGCCCGGGTTAGCCTTTCTTGTCTATGTATATTATGTGACTGTTCATTAGTCAAGACCATCACACACAACACAAACTCTGCAGCTCCATTGATGAACTCCCACCCCTTTTCTAATGGTACCGTTCGTATCACCAAAAGGTACTGTTAGTGTTTTTTTCTGTAAGGTACAAAACACACTGGTTTTCACACATGCTGGCATCTTCAATTGTATTGCAGTTCTTGGGAAACTTTGTGTTGCTGAGTCTTGCTAGTCAAGCAAGAATTTTACCATTTGAAGATCGGCACAAACCATCCAATTATGTTTTAAATACTTACATTTTTCCACAACTGTGTTTATTGTAACAAACTCCTCCTTCATAGTGTGTTTTGTTCGTCCATCACAAGTGATGAAGACCACTTTCGTCCAAAGTATAGCTGCTTGCGCAAGGACTTGGATTTATGTGAGGAAGACTTGCGCACTTTCTCGACCTCACTCTTTCCCTATGTCCGTCTTGATCCAATGGCAAGACAATGTCGAGACAACTGGACATGGACCTAGGTGCAGTGAATGACCAAGGCGTCTTAAGTACCCTGCCTTGCTCAAAGCTCTTCACAGAGCTTGCTGGTAAACACTTTCTTGTCCATTGAACCAAAAAGAGGTTTCATCCGCACAATCCGCCAAGTCCAGTCTTTGCATGCAGGATAGGCATATCCCACACACCGAGTGGTTTAGAACCAAAACCTTTATAGTAGCAATTGAAATCAAGCCATACTGGTTACCATTGTGTAAGAGAACTCTTTCAAGGAATATCTGCGAGGACAGATGGCTGTTGAGCCCTAAAGCGTCACTGTCCAGGCAGATCACAATCCATGAAGACCTCAAAAAGAAGCTAGCCGTGTGTTAACTATTCACAAATGCTCAAGTTTTCAAACATTTTCACTGTTATGTACAAAGGTATTAAATGCACAGTAATTACATATAACGGAGGTCGCCGTGGCGTAGCAGCTAGATGCTCGCATGCAGATCGGAACGTCGTGGATTTGCTCCCTGGCGGAGCCTTTTTTTTTTTTTAAATGACCTTGACTCCCAGTTCAACCCAGCCTTGAGTGGGTCCCGGATGCAGTCTCGGGAAATACAGGCAGTCACATCACCAATCTTGTGCCGATTGGTCTTTAAAAATATAGGTCTAGCCCTATATGCCCTATATGCCTAAAGGCGTGGAAAAGGGACCTTTACTTTATTTTTATTTGTTTTAAACTAATTACATACAATTATTTTACTACAAATTACTACAAAGTCAAAAAGCCACTGATAGCACTGGATTCTAGGCTTCTACATAACAATGACCCTACTAAGAAGATCATTCTTAGCTTGCTCAAAAACTAGAGCTGATAGAGAGAAAAAAAGGCTGATCACTTTTTTATAATCAGCAACACAAAATTAACCAACTACAGCTTTATATTTAAGGTGTCCAAATATGTGTAGACCAGTGTCGTAGTTTTTTTCCTACATCATTATACAGAAAATTCTATAATAATATGAATTAAAAATAGAAATGAGAATAAATTAGGCAAATAGTAATGTGGTTTTGCTAAATGGCACCCCACTGGGCAGTATTGTAGATAAAGATGGGGGAAACTGATAGAGACATTAAAATAAGAATACAAAAGGCAAGAGGGGCTTTCAAAGCACTAGGGAATTTGTGGAGGTTAAAAGAAAATAAAAGAAATATTAAATTTAAAAAGAGGTGAGGAAAAGACACTGGCATTGGATAGGTCACACACTGAAAAAACCAGAGAACAGCATAACTAGAATGTCTTTGCATTGGAACCCACAGGGGCATAGGAATAAAGGAAGGCCAAAAAACACATGGAGAAAAAAGCTGAAGAATAAAGTTAGAAAGATAGGGAGGACATGGAGAGCTAGCGAAGGATAGAACAACTTGACGTGAGTTGGTTGGAAAAAATCAAAATAAAAAAAATCAAGTGTAAAATGTTAGGCATCTATTTTTTTTTCTTTTGTGTACCGAAACGGTGTGAAGTAACAAAGACATTCATACTTGATAGTGATGATGATGTCATCGACGGGGACTTCAGTGGTGACAGATCCATGAGCCAGGTGCTGGACGGCGGTCAGGGTCAGTGTCTGGGGGTTGGACCTGCCAAACAACAACATCAGATCCTAAATATCTCATTACTCAGGACAGGGTACATTCTGAGCAGTCTGCCAGCGCACTGAGATGCTGTGTCAGTAGGAGAATGGATAGCAGCCCCCATGGTGGTTTGATAGTTGGGACAGGGAGTCTACGCAACATTTCATATGTCCTTGGTTAGAGCTTGTACAGATCACGTGTGGGTGAAAGAGTGTGAATGTACATTGTGTGTGTGTGTGTGCGCACGAGAGAGAGAGAGAGAGAGAGAGAGAGAGAATGTGTGTGTGCATGTGGGTGCATGTGTGTGGGTGAAAAAGAGAGACAGGGAATGTGTGTGTGTGCGTATGGATGCCTGTGCTTGCATGTTTGTGTGTGAGTGTGTATGCACACGTGAATATATGTTGTTATAAGAATGTGTCTGGGTCCCAGCAAATGGAGGCAGTGTGTGAGAGAGTAACCAAGTACCAGCCTCAACAAATACCCAGTCTAAACCAGGCCAGAGCTCATGTGTTTGAATCCTCTCCAAGATGCACATTTGTTCAAGTTGACTGGGCTTAAAATAGGCACCAGGAAGTAAAGGCTGGTCTATCTATACAGACATGGAGCTGGCAACATCAACCTAATGTGCCTGATGATGTCACAAGGGGACTTGGATGTAGGCTTAAGACAAACTTACAAATTAATGTTATCATTCATTGTTCCAGGATAAATGGCTTTCTACTATCTTGGAAGCAACCCATTGAAATGATACTTCACTTGTAATGATTTCTGGTCATGCACTTCTTTAACATCTAGGGTTGACAACGCAAACGCCGTTCAGCTCCTTTGTATATGCTATCAGTTTATTCTGGTCCTTTTGTTCCACATGTTCAACCAATTATTCTCACTTTCATCGCTTGCGACATATTCAAACACTATTCATTCGCGCGACATAAAGACGATATCTTCAATTACTACAACCGTCTTCTCTGACTTCTGATGATCAACTGACCACGAGGCTAGCTCGGGCTTTCCCTCGTGTACTCGACCAGCCACAAGTACTCGTGCTGTCACTTGTAGCACAGACTTTCTGCTTGCCACAATGTACTCGTGGAGACCATGCAAAGCAGGGTCATCACATTCATGTTCCAGGTGTAAATGTGTGTCGGGGGGTGGGGAGGAGCAGATCCATTGGCCCCTATTTCTTCTTCTTCTTCAGTGATCTCTGATCATGCACTTCACCCAGTGTGGGTCATAAACTGGCATGTCATCTCAAGGCTGGTCTGCATAGTTTCCCTAGAGTCTTTAGTTTGCTGGGTCTACTAGCCTGGATAAACGGTGTTCGCTGCTTTGAGAGGACAGTCTTGCAAGTCATGTGCTGGAGTGTGTCGAACACGAAGATACTGGCAGTACATGCAGTGGGCTGAGTGTTTGTTCGCTGCTCCGCTAAGAGAGGACAGTCTTGCAAGTCATGTGCTGGAGTGTGTCCAACACGAAGATACTGGCAGACAGCAGTCTGGCTCAACGTGAGTTCGCTGCTCCGCTAAGAGAGGACAGTCTTGCAAGTCATGTGCTGGAGTGTGTCCAACACGAAGATACTGGCAGACAGCAGTCTGTGTCAACGTTGGTCTGCTCCGCTAAGATGGTGGTCTTGCAGTCATGTGCTGGGTGTGCCAGTAGATACTGTGGGACAGCAGTGTTTCAACGTGGGTCGCAGTCCGATGGTGAGGTGCAGTGTTTGCTGGGTCTGCAGTAGATGGTGGGTGAGTGTTTGCTGGCTCAATGTGAGTAGACGCTGGGCTAAGAGAGTGTTTGCAAGTCATGTGCTGGAGTGTGACGGTGGGTGAGTGTTTGCTGGGTCTGCAGTAGATGGTGGGTGAGTGTTTGTTGGTCTGCAGTAGATGGTGGGTGAGTGTGCCCCTAACTAGTATGTTGTCAAAGTCATGGACATTTCTTTTGAAGTCAGGGTGCATCTGCCTGAACATCGAGGAACCAACAGTCTGCACACAAATAAGTCAGATCTGTAATATGACTGTGCATGCAAAACATAAATTCTGGATCAAGACCAAGGTGCAGAAGTGGATGAACATCTTGAACTTTATGCCAGAGTTTAGAGCCAATGAATGCAAAGAATAAGAAGCAGAAGAAGAAGAAGCGGAGGAGGAGAAGAAGAAGAATATCAACATGACCAGTAACAAGATAAACAGATAACATCAGACACACTACAACTGTACAACACGATTATGGTTGAGGTGGTCGCAACAGCAACAACCTTGTACCTCCTTCGACCCCCAAAGCAGTACAGAAGGAAGTGACAAATAAGAAGAAGCCAAACTTACGTGTCATAGATGTAATGCTCTTGGTCAAACCGATGACATGAGTCCGGGGTCAGCTGGTAGACACCTGGATGGGCCAGACAGAAGCGGTTCAAACCTTTGTCCAAGAGGAAGGAACCCACATTCTTCTCCTTCTTGTCATGAGCAAAATTCTTGCAACAGAATCAATTATTTCAATCAGTATTTTATATCAACAAAGAAAACACAAACAATAAATTGCACAATTTATTGCCTGGCATATTTCGCTGTATCTCCTCAGATGCATACTGCAGTAACAATTACATAAATGAAGCAAATAAATTAAATCTTTATAACTGAAGTACAATTTCAACAAAGATCGACATAACTGCCTGTTTTTAATCAGGGCAGCCGTAAAGACAGAACCATCTCTTTCTGTATACAGAGTTCCGGGCGCAGGTGACGAATTGCGGAAGCTTCAAGAAATCTTAGCGTCCTGCCATTGGTTGACATATGAACTGCGCCCGTAGGTGGTCAAGAGTCATGAGAAATGCCCCGAGCATGTTTTATGTGAGAACATTTGAGAAGGGAAAGGAGGCTATTGAAGCCATGAGAAACTTGAGTGAGTTTAGTCTTGTTTTCCATCCTGGGACAGTGTGTCTGACAGCGTTGGAACAGTGAAATCTACATGCAAGTAAATGTCTACCTCATGTGATTACTGAAAGTGCCTAGAGAGGCTGGTTTAGCCTGAAACCTCACACTAGCTGAGAGAAGTTTTTTTTTGTGTGTCAGTGTAAAGTTAAGGTCCCTTTTCCACGCTTTTAGGCTTATGTGGCATATAGGGCTATAGTTATATTTTTTACAGACCAATCGGCACTCGGGGGGTGGTGTGGTTAACATCACGCCGGCAGTCTTTACTTCACGGGACTGCAGCCGGTACCCACTCAAGGCTAGGTCCAACTGAGGTCCAAGATCATATTTTTTTTTTAAAGTCTGGCTCCTCTAGGGAGCGCACCCACGACCTTTCGATCCGCATGCGAGCGTCAAACTGCTACGCCGCGTGACTTCCCTTGCTGTCCTTGTAGATGGTTGCAAATCTTGAGGTGACTTCAGTTGGAAGTGTTCTGGATTTATCATCTATTGAAGGTAAAAATAGCAAGTTGATTGAAGTCATTGATGTTGTTGTGTGTGGTTGATGTGGTTGTCCCTAGACGTGTCTCTACCTCCTGCACTCTGATGTTGTTGTGTGTGGTCGATGTGGTTGTCCCTAGACGTATCTCTACCTCCTGCACTCTGATGTTGTTGTGTGTGGTTGATGTGGTTGTCCCTAGATGTGTCTCTAACTCCTGCACTCTGATGTTGTTGTGTGTGGTCGATGTTGTTGTCCCTAGACGTGTCTCTACCTCCTGCACTCTGATGTTGTTGTGTGTGGTTGATGTGGTTGTCCCTAGACGTGTCTCTACCTCCTGCACTCTGATGGAGAAACAGTCATTGGATTCAATAAACCCAAAAAACATTTTTAAAGTAAAAACAAGGATAACATTGAGGTTTTCATAGACATGAGAAAGCATGACTGAAACAACAACTATGAGACTCAGCACTTATAATGGTGACGGAGTGCAAGACAAGACACCTGAGAATGTAGTCGGTGTGGACAAACTATTAGACTGAGCACTTACAATGGTGATGGGGTGCGACACACTACACTTGAGAATGTAGTCGGTGTAGACAAACTATGAGACTGAGCACTTACAATGGTGATGGGGTGCGACACACTACACTTGAGAATGTAGCCGGTGTGGACAAACTATGAGACGGAGCACTTACAATGGTGATGGGGTGCGACACACTACACTTGAGAATGTAGCCGATGTGGACAAACTATGAGACTGAGCACTTACAATGGTGATGGGGTGCGACACACTACACTTGAGAATGTAGCCGGTGTGGACAAACTATGAGACTGAGCACTTACAATGGTTGTGGACAAACTATGGGGTGCGACACACTACACTTGAGAATGTAGCCGGTGTGGACAAACTATGAGACTGAGCACTTACAATGGTGATGGGGTGCGACACACTACACTTGAGAATGTAGCCGGTGTGGACAAACTCCAGCCCTGTCAGATCAGTGTCTGACACTTCTAGCTCGATGGACCGCTCCTTCCAGCACCAACTGTCCAATACAATGGAGGCTAAGAAACAAACAATCCCACAATTTATGACAGACAAGTACCCTTCAGACACAAATACAAAGAATTCATCTCCTGTGCCTAGTTTTCTTCTTCTTCTGCTTTGTGTTCATGGGCTGTAAAATCCACCAGTAAAGTATGCTTGTTCGTCCACCTCTGGACTTAGTTTTGTATCAGAACTGGAGTGTTGCATGCACATTTGTTTTACAGATCTGATTTATTTAAATGCCGATTGTTGGTTCCTTGCCACTCAGACAGATGCACTCTGACTTCCAAGGAATCCCTCACTTAGTCGACTCTTATGTCATGCTTGGAAGGGTGGCAGTGGGTCTATTCTTGTTTGCGCCAAAATGGGGTCCGGAACACATACAGGGGAAAAGTGCCTAGTCTAGTGGTGTGATTTTAATCTCCAACCTTATATATCAACTGAGCAGATTTGTGCTATCTTTTGGCCTATGGAGGAGCGGCTGGCCAAATGGCTGGAATGTTTGGCTTTCAAGCTGGAGACCCCGGTTCTAACCCTCTGTAAGGCTGGGGATTTTTTTCTGTTGGGGGCAAAATAAAATTCTCACCTGCACTGTCGTGGCGACAGCGCTAGCCATGCGCCATAAATCCTCTGGCTCAAAGATCCCCCTGCCTACACCGCAAAAGTGGTAATCTTCTTCTTCTTCATGTTCACCAGCTGTAAACTCTAGCAGAAAGTTCTGGTTGTTAATCCACTTTTGGACTGCAGCCCTGTTCCAGAACCTGAGTGTTGCGTGTGTATCCGTTTTACAGATCTGACTCATTTGAATGCAGACTGCTGGTTCCTTGCCTCTCAGGCAGATGCACTCCGACTTCGAAGGAAGCTCCCAGTTAGTCGCCTCTTACACCATGCTTTTGGGTAGGCAGTGGCAGTGGAACACACACGGGGAAAAAGTGGTCATAACGGCGGTTATTGGCAGTTTTGGCCTGCAACAAAAGGTTACCAGGTATCTTGTCTCATCATTCTGCATCTCTCTTTCCATAAACTTTTCCGGTCGTGGAGATTTGTTGCTGCCATCATCATGTGACTAAACAATGTTCATGGTTGAACTTTAATCTCTGTGACTTTCAACAGAGAAGAATTTCCCCCAAAAAACTCTCAACATTTGTCTGCAGATAGATCCCCATCTCTAAGGCCTCAAAGGCGATTTTTGCTTTTTATTAACTGGTCTCGATGTACAGCCAGTTGTTAAACTGAGTCTATGAAAAAACCAACGTGTCTATGAAAAAACCAACGTAAAATCCTTCTTAACGGCTATCTTTTCAGTGCTAATCTGTCTAAAATTCCTGGTAGAATGGTGGGTGGGGGGGGGGGGGTTGGGTTCTGTGACCATCATCTGGGGTAAAATATTATGAAAAAACTTCTTGAGGATTTTGCATTATGAAAAATCTGTACCTTTGTACTTTCCTGGCATGACATTCTCAAACAAAAATGTGGCCTCGTTGATAGACAGCTTGGCTGGCACCTTCAACTGGGTGTCTGTTCTGCCAACTGTGTCCAGTGTCACTTCAAGTGGCAGGCATTTCTCTGTGAACAGAAATGATATCATTTGAGAAAAGAAAAGAAGGAATGTGTGGAAGAAGGAATATTGGGGGGGAGACAATGTGGGAAGGAAGAGGCAGGCCAGCGTTAAAACTGCGGCTTACTTGTGTGCATGTTTATAGGTTTCTAAAGAAAACTAGTGGAAAAACAAAAATATATTTTTCAAGAAAAATTTAACTGACTAAATATTTGAACAAGGCTGCACCACCGGTGCGTGTGTGTGTGTGTGTATGCAAGCATGACAATTTAAACAATCCATATACCAACAACTCAACTACACAATACCAAAAAACTCAAACTACACGATATTTACAATTTAACCATACAATACCAACAACATCACACAATACTGAAAACACAACTTCACTATACCAACAACTCAGCTAACTATATACCAACAACTCAACCACACAATACCAACAACTCAACCACACAGTACTAACAACTCAAGCATAACTACCACCACCACAAAGAACTCACCCATACACTTGACTGAGCCAGAGAGTTTAGCCCGGAACTGTGAAAAGTTGACATCAAGCACGGGTTTGTTGGTAATAACTACCATCTTCTCTGCTGGGGTCAAGGTTAGTCCAGCCTTGACCTCCGGATCACTCATGTACACCTGTTATCACAGAGAAAACACATCTCATCTTGTAACACCAGCCAGGAGAGACAGAGGGACAAGCAGTAGGACAACGCTGGGTGGAAAAGGTGGCTAGCAAATAAATAATTGCAGAAGTGGGACAGTTTAATCTGAGCCCTAAGGACTTGTCAGTGCATTATGGCCCCCGTGTGGGTTCCGGGGCCCCATTGTGGGGAAAACAAGAATGGACACACTGCCTCCCCAAAAGCATGTCGTAAGAGTCGACTAATTGGGGAGCTTCCTTTGAGGTCGTAGTGCATCTGCCGGAGAGGCAAGGAACCAACAGTCTGTATTCAAGAGAATGAGATCTGTAAAACTGATGTACACGCAACACTCAGGTTCTGGAGCAGGACTGCAGTTCAGGACTGGACGAGCAACCAGAACTTTCCGCTAGAGTATACAGCTGGTGAACGCGAAGAAGAAGAAGAAGTGCATTATGGTACCTTTATGAAGCCAATCGTGGCTGATCGAGTGGTCAAGTCTGCTTTGTTTCCAACTGAGAGAACCAAGTTAGAATCCTCACTAAAGTGATGGACTGTATTTTTTTTCTGCGGGGTAAAAACAAATAAAACCCTTGCCCAAAGCCATGCGGCCGTAAATCCTCAGACTCAAGACCTCCTGTCCTGCTAGAAAAGTGGCCCGAACAGACAGCAAGAGCAGCTATTTTTATATGAGGTCAATGTCCTTCTTTACGCTCCCATAATGCATCACCAATTTTCAGAAATCCCCTATCAATTCCGAAAAAAATCACTTGTATTGTGTCAAATCAATGACAATGCTATGCTCTAGCATTACGTTTAATGCGGCCATGTCTAGGGCATGATCTGTTTTGCCATCAGCTATTTATCCATTAGTTGTGTTAGTATATTTATTTTCCTTGGTTCAACTTTCTGTTCTCTATGACATCACAAAACCACACAGAAATGATCACATTTCAGCACGACTTCACACTTTACGCATGTGAAACATGGACAGTTTCCCCAGCGCCATGCTAAAAACCTGAACCATTTCCACTAGTGTGCCTCAGAAAGTTGCTGAACATAGATGGTAAGACGGGATCCATGACAGGGCTGGTCTGTCCAGTATTTACTTGATTCTAAAACAAGCACAACTTCACTGGGCAGGTCATATAGTCTGAATGCCTGACCACCGACTGTCAAAAAGGTATTTTCTATGATGAGCAACTAAAGGGAAAATGCTCACCAGGTGGACAGAAGAAACATTTCATGGACTACCTCAAGACCTCACTGAAAGACTTCTGTACTGATCCTAAAACCTGGGAAGTCGCTGCATGTGACGGCTCATCCCAGCGCTCCTCTCTTCGTCCAGGAGTTATGGCCCATGAAGCTGCTAGAACTGCAGCAGCAATTCAGAAAAGACAAGCTGAGAAAAACACTGAAGCATATCACCAGAGAAAAGCCGCCTCAGTTCCCTGTCTACACTGCTCAAGAACTTTCAGTGCTAGAATTGGCCTTATCAGCCATCTGAGCACTCACAAAACCTAATACATACACCAACGGATGAAAGGTCTGGTAACCATCACCTGTGACAGACGAACAACAACAAAAAACCTGAACACTTACCTTAACCATGTACTTCCCCGGCTTCACAGTTTCACAGAATGTTCCACTGGAGTCTGTTACCACAGACTTGGCTTCTGACCCCCTGCCCTCTGGGTAGTAAATAATTCTCCGTTGACTGGAGAGCTTGCCTAAACTCTCTGGAACTCTGTCAATGCTAATCTTCCCACACATGCTGAAACTGGTGCAGACAACATAGGCAAGAATGAGCAACACAAGCAGCATGCAAGGAAAAAATGCTTTCAAGATTCAACATATGTTCATGGACTCTACAAAAACTCACATGTGTTCTCTTTCTGCAGACTGCTCAAGTCAGTTTTCACTGAATTCTTCTTCTTCATCTATGCAGCGTTCACCTGCTGTAAACTTGGCCAAAAGTTCTGGTTGTTCCTCTACTTGTGGGACTTTAGTCTTCTTCCTGAACCTAAGTGTTGTGTGCACATCTGTTTTACAGATCAGACTTAACTGTATGCAGATAGCTGTTTCTTGCCTCCCGCGCAGATGCACTCCGACTTCAAAGGAAGCCCCTAATGAGTCGACTCTTATGAACTGCTCTTTTGGGGAAGTAATGCCTCTATTTTTGGTTTTCCCCCCAAAAAGGGGCCCCAGAATCCACACAGGGAAATGGGAAAAAAGAATGTAGACAGGTTTTTCAAAGTGACAACATATATGGGGTCATTACAAGCAGTCTTCACTAGCAACACAACAATAACCCAAAAGAAAGAAAAGACAATGAAGTGAACATTAAGCCTTAACAATAAACAAGTGCAGTTTAAAAAATTCAAGGCACACACATTCCCAAAAGAACTGAACAAACAGCCATCAAAAGCGTGAGGCAAACAGCTTGACCACTTCATCACAGAGACCCCCAAAAGAACTGAACCAAACAGCCAGCAACAAAATAGAAGAACCAAACAGCCAGCCATCAACAAAATAGAAGAATCAAACAGCCATCAACAAAATAGAAGAACCAAACAGCCAGCCATCAACAAAATAGAAGAACCAAACAGCCATCCATCAACAAAATAGAAGAACCAAACAGCCAGCCATCAACAAAATAGAAGAACCAAACAGCCAGCCATCAACAAAATAGAAGAACCAAACAGCCAGCCATCAACAAAATAGAAGAACAAAATAGAAGAACCAAACAGCCATCAACAAAATAGAAGAACCAAACAGCCATCAACAAAATAGAAGAACCAAACAGCCATCAACAAAATAGAAGAACCAAACAGCCAGCCATCAACAAAATAGAAGAACCAAACAGCCAGCCAGCAACAAAATAGAAGAACCAAACAGCCAGCCATCAACAAAATAGAAGAACCAAACAGCTAGCCAGCAACAAAATAGAAGAACCAAACAGCCAGCCAGCAACAAAATAGAAGAACCAAACAGCCAGCCATCAACAAAATAGAAGAACCAAACAGCCAGCCAGCAACAAAATAGAAGAACCAAACAGCCATCAACAAAATAGAAGAACCAAACAGCCATCAACAAAATAGAAGAACCAAACAGCCATCAACAAAATAGAAGAACCAAACAGCCATCAACAAAATAGAAGAACCAAACAGCCAGCCAGCAACAAAATAGAAGAACCAAACAGCCAGCCATCAACAAAATAGAAGAACCAAACAGCCAGCCAGCAACAAAATAGAAGAACCAAACAGCCAGCCATCAACAAAATAGAAGAACCAAACAGCCATCAACAAAATAGAAGAACCAAACAGCCAGCCAGCAACAAAATAGAAGAACCAAACAGCCAGCCATCAACAAAATAGAAGAACCAAACAGCCAGCCAGCAACAAAATAGAAGAACCAAACAGCCAGCCATCAACAAAATAGAAGAACCAAACAGCCAGCCAGCAACAAAACAAAATATGTAATAAGATGAGACCTAACCTAAATTCTTCTTCTTCAGTCATGTCTGGTCACGCATTTCATCCACAGCAGACCATAAACCGTGATACCAGCTCAAGGTCTCTGAAGTTTCCAAAAAGCTTACTTCTCAGGATTGCTGGATGTGACCACACGTTGCTCTGCAGCTCCTCTAGGACACCATAGTCTTGCATGACATATTCTGACATCTATTTTTCTTCTTCTTCTTCTTCGCGTTCACCGGCTGTAAGCTCCAGAGGAAAGTTCTGGTTGTTCATCCACTTCTGGACTCTAGTCCTGTTCCAGAACCTGAGAGCTGCATCTACATCTGTTTCACAGGTCTTACTCATTTGCATGCAGACTGTTGGTTCCTTGCCTCTCAGGCAGATGTACTCCGTCTTCAAAGGAAGCTCCCAATTAGTCGACTCCTACAACATGCTTTTGGGTAGGCAGTGGGTCTATTCTTGTTTTCCCCACAACTGGGCCCCGGAACCCACAGGGGGATAACATCTATTCAACATGACAACACGGGCAGAGATCTGTCTGGCTCATATTTCATTTATATCATTGCTTAGTCTGCAATGTCCTGTGCAATAAGTGACAAATGGTCAACTGGTAAGTTCGATTGAGGTGTTCCAACAACAGAAATGCACTGCTACTGAAAGGAACATCATTTAGACACTGAAAATCTATCTAATTTAATGCCTGAACTGTTCAAATTGCACAAAGAATATCCTGGGGTTCCACCAATCAACTGACATTTCCTTATGCATCTGGGTCATCAACAGTTTTTAAGACACATGGGCTTTCTTGTCAACTAATAAAAACGTGCCAACAGATAACTATAAAAGGAAAGGAGTAAAGGACTCTTTTCCATGCCTTAAGCCCTATTGGACACACAGGGCAAGATCTGTATTTTACAGACCAACAGGCACTTGGTGGGTTTGTGGTCAGCATCAGGCCGGATCAGATAACTATGCATGTTTCTTTTCAAACATTATATAAATAAACAGCAAGAATCAGAAGAGGACACACTGTTTAGTTTCTTACCCAGAGGCTACCAGATTTGGCAACTGTGGTGTTTTGGGTGTTATTTCAACCTGCATTTCCTCAAAAAAAATGTTGTCCAACCTGGCAGTCAACGTATATGTGCCAGTCTTCATGTTCTCCAGGCTGTAGCTGCCATCGGCGGCACTCACCGTCTGATCCTTCCCATTGATAACGATGGTGGCTTTTGCGATGCCCACGCCCTGAGAGATGAGTTCACACATGGAAAAGTTAGATAATTTTTATAGCATGTAAATGATGTTTTCAAAAAACACACAGAAACAGCCAGGCTGACTGTATCTGAAGGATGCAGGAAATACCCACTGTCCCTTTCACAGCTTTTTTTTTTAACCCTTAGGTGCCCATAATACTAGACATTACAGCGTTTCCGATTGGAACTGATAAAATAACAGAAAGGAAGGGATCAGGAGAGAACAAAGATAAACAGAAAGACAGACAAACAGATTGAAACATAAATTATTTCAGTTTTCTGGTTCTCAGCATTGTAAAATATTGTATAACCCTTTCACTATGGACAAATGGAATCACGAAAAGACAGTGCAGACACAGACTACACACAGAGCAGACACAGACTACACACAGTACAGATACAGACTACACACAGTGCAAAAACAGACTATAAACAGTGCAGACACAGGCAGAGACTACAAAGATGACTAATGTCATTTAGCCAATGAAGTGACTTACATTCTCTTTATCCAACACTTTTCCATTGACTGAGAATCCAGCAACCTCAAATTTTTGCTGAAAATAAACAGGAAATAATTAACTCTGTTGCCTCCAGAGGTTAACCTGTATATATTTATACTGGAAAATTATCACACACAAAAACAAGAAAAAACAAGTGCATTACTTTACCCCCCCCCCCCCCCCACACAGTATCCCCCAATTCTATTTTTAGTAAATACAATCAGACTGGGTCCTCCTAAACCCTGTACAGGTGCAAACAGAACTAATGCCATTATTCAGGCTTCTAGGGAACAAACCAATGCAGGTTAAGCAGCTCTTCTGGGATTAGTAACGAGAGCAAATGTCAGGTTTGGAGCATTTCAGGACCATGGGTTAACAATTGGAATCTTCACGTTAATGAATAAATTTTTTTTTTTTTACTGACTGTGAATACATTATTTTCTTAGGTTCTTTGTCCTTTTATTGTCCCCATTCATTCTGCTCATGTTGTTCACAAGCGTAAGATTCCAACTACAGTCTCCAGGCTAGGTTTTGAAAGTGCTACTGTGATCCCCTCAAACTGATAGACCCTCACTACGCTTCATGTCACAACAACAAAAGACATTATGACAATTACCTGCAGAAGCACAGAACCATGCTCAACAGTGAAGTCTAACTTTCCAGGGGCAACATCAAATGTAATGTGCTCTCCCTTGTAGAATGGGATCTGTATGTGACAAACACAATCAGAAAATATATTCAAGCATCCGCACCTTTACATGAGAATGTCAGCTTTACTCGTTGGCTATTTTATTATTTGTGTGATTTGGTGTGGTATGGTGAGTGTGTGGTGTGGTCATGCATGCAGTGATGCTCAATTAAATTAACATGCATACGTGAAAACTACTGCTGTGAGACGAATAAATGTTTTGAAGGGCAAACGTTAAGAGAGTCCTGAATGCCCAGTTTGACTATATATATATATATATATATATATTTTTTTTTAAACATTGTTTATTCATACACTCCACCCTTCCCCCCTCCCCTCCCCCAATCTCTCTCTATCTCTGTCATTATATGTCACCATAAATTCTGTTGGCATCATAGTGCACTATCATTTAATAACTTCCGCATGGCATCGTGCACCAGATGTTACGACTCTTCCTATAAAGTTGTATACAATAACTTACTGTTTGTGCGTATTTAACACTTTGTAATTTCTCAATGTTCTGTACAAGACAACAAATCTACAGTACTATAACCAGTGTTACTGGAAACTTCAGCATTTATGTATTGCAATATCTGTGGAAAGACGGATCATCTAAATGTTTGACCTGTGTGCTATGATGCTGAGTCTTAAACAGCCTTTAGCAAATCAAAATTACGGCACTAGATAAACTGTCTAAACAACTCACCAGAAAAATACGACCCAAAAGGTACAACAGGGAGTACAAATGTCCCGTCATCTTTGGAAGTCACAAAACAAATAGGTGTTAACTTGGTCTCCTTCGTAAGAAACCCTTTTGGAGCCCCCTTCTCACACTGTGGCACATTCTTGAAGTCAAATAGTAATATCCAATGAAAAACAATTGCAGTTCATATCAATATTACAAATTAATACGTCTGCAAGATGATATGTTTTCAAGTTTATACAACTAAAACTGTTTCACTTGTTGAACTAAGTTAATTTGAACACTTTTAATTTAGTATGCCTGACAAGGAAAATCTGGACAAATTTTCTTATTTGGTTTACTTGATCAGATAAACCTGGACACTTTTTCTGAACGCAATTCCAGATAAAAGCTTGGTTATGTTACTTTTAAAGGATATACAGTAACTTTAAAATGTAGAGAGGTCCACGCTGTGACTTAAGCAAGTTACTGTTTGGGAGATATACAAATTTCTCAAATGTAGAGAGGTCCAAGCTATGGTTTGACTTAACTAACATATGTGAAATATACAGTAATTCTACAATGTAGTGAAGTCTAAGCTATGGTTTGACTAAACTAACATATGAGAGATATACAGTAACACTAAAATGTATAGGTCCAAGCTATGACTTAACTAAGTTACTGTTTGGGAGATATACAAATTTCTCAAATGTAGAGAGGTCCAAGCTATGGTTTGACTAAACTAACATATATGTAAGATATACAGCAGTTCTACAATGTAGTGAAGTCCAAGTTATGGTTTGACTAAACTAACATATATGTAAGATATACAGCAGTTCTACAATGTAGTGAAGTCCAAGTTATGGTTTGACTAAACTATCATGTTTAAGATATGCAGTAATTCTACAATGTAGTGAAGTCCACAGTGAACCGCTAAGAAGAGCAACCCAGATGATCTAAAAGAGGCAAATGCTCGAAGACAACATATCACAAACATCAGAAAAAGACAAGTCATTATTTTTTGGTCATGTAAAGAGAAGAGGGAAAAGGGAACATGTTGTGACAACTGGAAAGGTCTATGGAAAAAAGAGACAGAAGAAGACAGTGCGAGAAGAATCTTGACAGTCTTTTGTCATGTCATGGATTGGTGTCAGCACATAAACTGATACACGCAGTTGCAAATCACAGATTGTGGAGAGGCATGATCGCCCAGGCCAGTTGGCAAGGCACTTGATGATGATGATGAGTGAAGTCCTAGGAATTGTCTGAAGATATGATGTAAGCCTACAATGTCAACATGTCCAAATTACGACTTGATCAAACTATTGTCTGGAAGGTCTACAGTAATCCTACAATATCAACATGTACAAACTACATGTTGATCAAGCTATTGACTGAAAGATCTAGAATAATCATACAATGTACACAGGTCCAAACTACAACTTGATCAAGCTATTGCCTGAAAGATCTAGAATAATCATACAATGTAGAGAGGTCCAAACTACAACTTGATCAAGCTATTGCCTGAAAGATCTAGAATTATCATACAATGTACACAGGTCCAAACTACAACTTGATCAAGCTATTGCCTGAAAGATCTAGAATTATCATACAATGTACACAGGTCCAAACTACAACTTGATCAAGCTATTGCCTGAAAGATCTAGAATTATCATACAATGTACACAGGTCCAAACTACAACTTGATCAAGCTATTGCCTGAAAGATCTAGAATTATCATACAATGTACACAGGTCCAAAACTACAACTTGATCAAGCTATTGCCTGAAAGATCTAGAATTATCATACAATGTACACAGGTCCAAACTACAACTTGATCAAGCTATTGTCTGAAAGATCTAGAATAATCATACAATGTACACAGGTCCAAACTACTGTCTGGAAGACCTACAGTAACCCTGCGAGGAGCCTTATTCTAATCATCACGGCACTCAGGTTATTGCTGTTTGTTCAGCAAGATTATCAGAAGAACAAAAACATGTACATGCACCAACCTGAACCTGGCCTGACTGAGAGAAGAGAACAAAGTTCACTGACTTCATGGGCTGGCCGTCTCCAGTGACCTCCCCCTGAAATGTTATGACATCACCAATTAAAGCCTCAATTGCTCCTGTAAAGTAAACTTAACTTAAGCTCTTTTGTTACCCCCAATGGTGCATCAGGTATAAACTTAAGCTCTCGTGTTACCCCCAGTGGTGCATCAGGCATAAACTTAAGCTCTCATGTTACCCCTAGTGGTGCATCAGGCATAAACTTAAGCTCTCGTGTTACTCCCAGTGGTGCATTGGGCATATGAGACTGGACTCCTATTTTTCTCGATCAATCGGTCCTAGATGAGTAATGCCGTCAACATCTTGGCCTCCACAATTACATCTCCGGACATTGTCAGGTACCCATGTCAGACTAGGTCGGCCTGGTAGCTTTTGGCTTTTGAAGAAGATAAGCTACTGTTGGTATGCTGTCTTCTTCTTCGTTCGACATCAGTCATGCTGAACATTGAGTCTCGTCTGAGTCACAAATAGGATTGTACGTTTAAGGTCGCCACAGGTTCCCCATAGCTTCTCTTGCAATGTAGGTATGCTGTCAAAATAACAAATCTTTGTTCGCCAGCTGTAAGCTCTTGAGTAAAGTCCTGGTTGTTCGCCAGCTGTAAGCTCCTGAGTAAAGTCCTGGTTGTTCGCCCGTTTGAACTTTAGCTTTGTTCTAGGGCCTGAGTTTTGTCTTTGCATCCATTTTACTGGCTTATTTGTGTGCAGTTGGTAGTTCCTACGACATGTTTGTTGGGGAGGTAGTGGACCTACTCTTGTTTCCCCAACAATAGGGCCTCAGAACCCACATGGACAAAACAGCAATTCAAAATAGCCCTTCTTGTTACAACAAAATCAACTGTATTACCTTCTTCTTTATCATCTTCGCGCTCACCAGCTGTAAACACAGGTGGAAACTTCTGGCTGTCGGCCCACTTCTGGGCTTCAATCTTTTCTTGAGTTTTATGTGCACATTCACTCGATAGATCTGTCTTATGTGAATGCTGACTGTTGGTTCCTTGCCTTTCAGGCAGATGTACTCCAACTTCAATGGAAAACCATAATTAGCCAGCTCTTATGACATGCTTGTTAAGCTGGCAATGGGTCTGTTCTTGTTGTTTCCCAAAATGGGGTCTGGGGCTCACATAGAGTTACATCACACATACTTGTCGTCCCGTCCCCCCCCCCCCCCCCCCACATAACTGAAGTCAGTCAGCTGTATCTCACCTTGACATCATAGCCTCCAACAGAGAGACCACCTCCAACACACACACACAAACGAAGTCAGTCAGCTGTATCTCATCTTGACATCATAGCCTCCAACAGAGAGACCACCTCCAACACACACACACAAACGAAGTCAGTCAGCTGTATCTCACCTTGACATCATAGCCTCCAACAGAGAGACCACCTCCAACACACACACACAAACGAAGTCAGTCAGCTGTATCTCATCTTGACATCATAGCCTCCAACAGAGAGACCACCTCCAACACACACACACAAACGAAGTCAGTCAGCTGTATCTCACCTTGACATCATAGCCTCCAACAGAGAGACCACCTCCAACACACACACACAAACGAAGTCAGTCAGCTGTATCTCACCTTGACATCATAGCCTCCAACAGAGAGACCACCTCCAACACACACACACAAACGAAGTCAGTCAGCTGTATCTCACCTTGACATCATAGCCTCCAACAGAGAGACCACCTCCAACATTGGCATTGTCATTCTTGACTTGCACCAGCAGCTCTCCCTGCAACAACAATCAACAGTGATAGCCAGCTGCTGTACAGGTTATATAGGCAAAATATCAACAGTGATAGCCAGCTGCTGTACAGGTTATATAGGCAAAATTTCAACAGTGATAGACAGCTGCTGTACAGGTTATATAGGCAAAATATCAACAGTGATAGCCAGCTGCTGTACAGGTTATATATGCAAAATATCAACAGTGATAGCCAGCTGCTGTACAGGTTATATAGGCAAAATATCAACAGTGATAGCCAGCTGCTGTACAGGTTATAAAGGCAAAATATCAACAGTGATAGCCAGCTGCTGTACAGGTTATATAGGCAAAATATCAACAGTGATAGCCAGCTGCTGTACAGGTTATATAGGCAAAATATCAACAGTGATAGCCAGCTGCTGTACAGGTTATATAGGCAAAATATCAACAGTGATAGCCAGCTGCTGTACAGGGTTATAAGGCAAAATATCAACAGCTTTCTACATTTCATAAATAAAATAACATAAAAAACAATCAGACAGGAATGACACACACAGACATAAGCAATGTTTCTACCAAAGTCTTTATCCGTAAACAAAATAATCAGAATATTTTGCATCATAAACATCTTTAAACAAACCAAAGTAACTCACACGATGAACCGTTTTTTTAACACTCTGAGTAGAGGATAAAGTCAAGAAAATCGACTTTATTGCTCTAGGTTTTATCCCATATTGCTCAGGTCTCTCTCCACAAAATGGTCTCCAACCTGTCGAGAACATCTCACACAAGCATGAACACCATAGCTCCAGTGATGATCCCCAGCAGTCTGAGTGTAAAGTTTTTTTTATAAAAGACCAACCTACAGCCAAGACTAAACAAAGCAGCATGGTATTAACCACACCACTAATATTTAAAAAAAATATGGAGTCCACAATAATTCCCAATCATCATCACTAATCAACAGGTCCTGACAGTCATTTTTTCTATAGCCAATTCTCCAGCATCATGTGCTCTCATAGCCCTAGGATCTTCAATGTCTTGTATCCACCTGGTGGCAGTCAGAACTGGTGTTGTGTAACATTTCGGCAGCCTGCTCTAGTGCTAGGATCTCTGCTGTGTAGCTGGAACAGAATTTACCAGTGGGTATCCACTTTGTGTGGCAGTGGTTGCCTGGGTATGTAATAAAGATGCCAGCCAACCTATTTTCAACTGCACTGGTTGTTGATCCATCTATTTAAGCATGCATTCTTAACTGATTGGCATAGTTTTCCTGAATCATGATAAGAGCAGGTCTTCATTTTTGAAGGTCACTGGACTCATCTCCAGCTGTGAATCTATTCAATAAAATCTGTATTGTGTCGTTGGCTTGCTCCCAAGGTACAGGGTAGGTTTCAGCAGTGTTGATCTCATAGGTAGATGATCTGCTTGAGTCTTTTCCCCCAATGGACAAAGCTGCTACTTTTGAGATTCCCCAATGCTAGATCTTTCAACCTTGCATTCACTGGGTGTGACTGCAAACTATTCATCTTCTTCATCTGGATCACGGTTTTAGTGTCTCTTCTATAAGACAATGTCTGCACTGCAGTTATTTTCTGCACCTCCAGGATTGGTGCAGTTTTCACGGATCCTGTGATGAGTCTAAGGGGTTGACTTTGCACTCTGTCTAACGATTGTAGATAAGAATTAGCAGCTGTTGACCATGCTGTTTCACTAAACTCCAAGTGGGGTCTTATCACTCCATTTTAAACTTTCTTTAGGGTTTTTACATTCACTCCCTAACTTGTACCTGCCAGTTTTCTAAGTAGCCCTAGTTGTCTCCTCGTATTCCCTTATACATTTTCTATAGGTCTGCTTCACGTGAGCCTTTTATCAAATGTATAAATTAATACAAGGCTACATATTTTTTTTTTAAACTGTCCAATCCATAAACATCATCATACCTTACTGAACTGCCAGGTTGGATGTGAAGCCTTGATTTTATATTCTCCTGGCATCACATTGGAAAAAGTGAAGCTGAAAAGTGATTGTTCACACAAAATTAGAATACAAACCATCAGTAAAACAGCACTGCATGTCCAGAAATTGCACCCAAAGTTAATTAAGTGACTTCTTCTTCTCTGATACCTTTTCTGCAGAGACACTGATGACTATGGATGTCCAAAAATTTTCGTCATTGATGTGGAATAAAAGAATAAGTTCCTTGTGTGGGTTCCGGGAACCCATTGTGGGGGGGGGGGGGGCAAATAGACCCACGGCCCCCTGACAAGCATGTTAAAAGAGTCAACTTTTTTGGAATGTTTCCTTCAAAGTTAGAGTGCACCTACCTGAGAGGTGAGAAACCAACAGTCTGCATACACTGTAAGCAGATCTGAAAATGGATGTGCATGCCTAATTCAAGGTCTGGAAGAACATTTAAAGTCCACAAGTGGATAAACAATTAGAAGGGTTTGCAGCCGGTGAATGTGAAGAAAAAGAAAATAATGAGTGTATTACATCTACAGGGGCGACATCCATATATACCTTGTTCACAGCAGACACCTTAGTAAAAAAAGGAAAAGGCCCTTTTTCACAACTTCAGGTGTACTGGGATATAGTGTTAGACCTATATTCATACCAAAATATCTTGTTGCACAATAAAATAAATAGCCTAGTTTCTTTACTATCATCATCAGTTCTCGTTATGCCTAGTGGCACATGAGGCTTCAGAGAGGACTTTCCATGCTTTCCTGTCCTGTGCAATCTTCAGTGCAGTTTTCTCCATGTCAAAGATTCCGCACTCAGGTCACTTTCCATCGTTCGTCTCCATGTTGTTTTTGGGCGCCCCTGTTTTCTTTTTTCCCTCTGGAGTCCATGTGAGAGCTGTTTTGGCAGGTATATCAGAAGTCATTCTCATAACGTGGCCAGGCCATTTCCATCTTCTCTTGGTAATCATACTGTCTAAAGTTTCTTGGTTTGTCATTTGAAGCAGTTTAGTGTTTGAGATTCTATCTGGCCAGAAAATTTTGATAATTCTACGTAGACATGTGTGGTGGAAGGTGGACAGCTTGTGTGCATCCTTTTTGGTCATTCTCCAGCATTCCGCTCCATAAAGAAGAACTGGCAAAATAATGCTCTTGTAGAGTCGGAGTTTTACTATAGCGAGACCAAATATCCAAGATATAAAACATGCACGGAGAAGAAGATGGATTGAAGGAGTCACTGACACCTTTAGACTGCATAACATCATATCAAGTGACTGATCGTGCCCTGGCTCGGCTGCCGATCATCTGATGAACTGTGACACCTAGCGGCATAAGCAAATATTGACAAAAGATTAAAGAAGAAGATAAAACATAGATAGCTTTTTACAAACAGGTATTTTATGACAGATGAGACACTGCTCCGTATAAAAAAAGAGTGACAGAAGTCAGAAATAGCACACAATATCAACAAAAAATATGTTTAAACAGCAATCATAGTATAAAACAAACTTCTGATAAGTCAAACAAGTGACGGCAAGGAAAGACCACAAACCTCCCCCCATCTGTGGTCACAGTTGACTGCAGAAAGTCAGCCTTTGATACTGAGGACAGCTCAAGCTTGACATTTGATGGTCCAGTTGTCTGTCCTAGGCTGACCACCTGTAACACAAACAAACCTAGTTTTACACAACATTTGATAGTCCAGTTGTCTGTCCTAGGCTGACCACCTGTAACACAAACAAACCTAGTTTTACACAACATTTAATGGTCCAGTTGTCTGACCTAGGCTGACCACCTGTAACAAAAACAAACCTAGTTTTACACAACATTTGATGGTCCAGTTGTCTTTCTTAGGCTGACCACCTGTAACAAAAACAAACCTAGTTTTACACAACATTTGATCGTCCAGTTGTCTTTCTTAGGCTGAACACCTGTAACACAAACAAACCTATTTTTACACAACATTTGATGGTCCAGTTGTCTGTCCTAGGCTGAACACCTGTAACACAAACAAACCTAGTTTTACACAACATTTGATGGTCCAGTTGTCTGTCCTAGGCTGAACAACTGTAACAAAAACAAACCTAGTTTTACACAACATTTGATCGTCCAGTTGTCTTTCTTAGGCTGAACACCTGTAACACAAACAAACCTATTTTTACACAACATTTGATGGTCCAGTTGTCTGTCCTAGGCTGAACACCTGTAACACAAACAAACCTAGTTTTACACAACATTTGATGGTCCAGTTGTCTGTCCTAGGCTGAACAACTGTAACACAAACAAACCTAGTTTTACACAACACCACAGTGTAGTTATTATACAGACAGTTTCGTTTTTGTGCTGCGTTTTGTTTCTGATCGTTGTTCTGATAGAAGCTAATCTAATTAAAGCATCACCCTTTGTTTATTGTAACTGATTTTGTAAAGCGGTCATATATTTTTTTTTCATCTTTTTAAATTGTCACTTTAGAGTCTCTGTGGCGAAGTGGTACAGTCGTTTGCCTCACGCTCTGAAAGTCGTAGGTTCGTTTCTCTGCAACGTCATTTTAAGTTCACAAACGCAATTTTTACGGAGATCCCTTGGGATGGTTGCCGGAGCTATGGTGGTCGTGTTGTGTGTGATGCTCCAAGCAGGTTACTAGCTGTTCTGCAAACAGAGACCCAGTCAGACGGAATAAAACCCCGGTGCAAGAAGTCGATCCTTTCGCCGTTACCTAGATTTTCATTGCATTACTAAAGTTATTTTATTTTGGAATGCACAAATAAACATACATACAAAGTTAGCTGTGTTTCCTTTACAGGATCTTTCCGAACCAATCTCCGCAGTCTTCTGCTGTTTGTGATTTCACAAGGCAATTTCCATTTCAGTAGTTTGCCACTGCCGTCTAAATAGCTGTCTGTCTTTATCACTGTTAAAACCAACACAAGGAGGTCTGCTGCCAAATTGCCTGCAGCCTGGACTGAGCATGGCACCACAAAATTACGAAGCGTTCACAAAGCTTAAGCCACATTTGCGACAAACATACATATGTGGGAACCACAACACCCGGTAAAGCAGCTATCTCCCTGCTAAATAAATGTCTAGTTTAGAGTATGTGAATCTCCTTACTATTACAATAGAAACTACGCAAACTAACAAACACAGTCAATTAAAATGGTAAGTACAAACAGACTACAATAACAACAAACAAGCAAACATGTCTGGTGTCTCAGATATCAACAAGGTCATCAAAGCAAAAAACAACTTACCACACCATACACTGAAAACCCGGTGAATTTAAAATTGATATCTTCACCTTTACTGCACGGGTCATTCTCCCCGTCAACTTTGAGCTCCACACTCACGGGCTCTGTAGGTACAAACACAAATAAAAATCATCAGGTGTCAACTCCACAATAAAGGTTGGTTGCAATGAATCTCCAACACTCTCTGTGTCTTGTCTTGGTTGTACACTCTCACAGACTGCTGTTTGTCCATCTCCTGATGCTGTCTGTCATCCCACTCATATCACTGTTTACCACTTTTTCTCCTGCATTTGACTTTTCCCTCCAGCATGATTTTTAAAAGAGTAATATGTATCCAATAAAATACACATCTTTACTGCCTTCCACAAACATAAGTTTCTGACTATGCTCTTTCTTCTTCTTCAGCACTGTGAGCCCTTGATGTTTCATTGATGCAGATATCACCCGCCTCCATTCATCTCTCTGGATGACCTTCTCTTTCGATGCTGTTGACTCCAAGTGGTTGTAGCCTTGCACTGTGCCTAGGCACAGTAGTTAAGAAAAACAAAGCAGCAAGAAAATCAAGAGAGCCAGTCGTCTAATCTTGTCAACCTGTGATTTGCTTCATCATCGTGTGCCATGACAATAAGTAGATCATCAATCCCTATCTCAATCAAAAAGTCTAGGATCAGGTCTGTGTTCTTGTCTAGCATGTTTCTGAATCATGATTTTTCAAGGCATCTATACAGAAGACAATGTGCCACTTCTTTACCTCCGGGCACTCACACTGTTCAGTGAATGTAGCTGGTATCATTATAAGAGTTAACCCCTGCCCACCCGTGAGACCATGAACAACAACCTTCTGTCAGTATACATGAACCATTGAACAAATTCGATGTGAGCTAAAAGACAACTGAATGATGCAAGCAATGAACGGTGTCGCTATGGCAAATGGTTTATTTTTACCAGCAATCAGAGGTTGATTTTGGAATGGTCCTAACATTAAGCACAATCCACCACCTGCTCCCAAGGTTTGACACCACCCTGGTGGCTGGCTGGTTGTGTGTGACACTGTCTGCTGTATGTAAGATCACCCAGAGTCAACAACCATGTTAAACTGATCAATCCACAAGATGCCTTCCTGAACTGAAACTGATACCTTTGTGAAAACATCCAGCATTTTCTTCTCAAGTTCCCTATGCCTTCAAATAATGGGGAAAGTGGGGGGCAGATGGGGGGGGGGGGGGGGGCTACTCTAGCGGTTAACAGAGAGAGAAACTGAGCCCATAGCTCCCAGCAACAGCAGCTACACAAGCCTAAAAGTGTTAAACACGGGCAGTAAAGTCAGTTTGCTATGCAGGAAATATGTTTTGATAATTTGTCTCATTTCAAAGTAGACCCTGCTAAGATAGTGGTCCAGATCCAATCTCCAGCACAGGATTATTTTGCTAACCAGCATACACCTCTGAGGTTGACCCAGGCTTATAAATATGGACACCAGATATTTTCAGAATTTCCTGGGAAATTTCTGCCAAAGATGGCAACAAAGCAAACCTGCCACCCCCACCTCAAAAATTGTTGTTGGCACCTTTTTGTCTTTACAGATGAGTGTTGCGCTGTGCCAAAGGAAGGCCGAGTTGAGCCAAGTTTAAAACTTCTTCTTCTTCTTCTTCGCGTTCACCAGCTGTAAACTCTGGCGGAAAGTTCTGGTTGCTCGTCCACTACTGAACTGCAGTCCTGCTCCAGAACCTGAGTGTTGTGTGTGCATCAGTTTTACAGATCTCATTCTCTTGAATACAGACTGTTGGTTCCTGCCTCTCCGGCAGATGCACTTCGACTTCAAAGGAAGCTTCCCAATTAGTCGACTCTTACGACATGCTTTTGGGGAGGCAGTGGGTCTATTCTTGTTCTCCCCACAATGGGGCCCCAGAACCCACACGGGGGGGGGGGGGGGGGGGGGGGGGGGGAATGTTAAAACTGACATCACAACACTCAGGGCATTTCCATATGTGCTCCATCCTCATCTTTAGTAGCCAGCGCAGAGTTCCAATGCTAATGGTACCAGTTGTAATTTGCCTTGCCTTTCGCCTGAGTGTAGTGAGCCGGCCAGACCCTCTGGTTACACCCAGATGCCTCATTCTCTGAAGGCCATAATAATCTTGTTTTGTTTCTGACTCCCTTGCTTGTTTTCAAAGGGCGCTGACCACATCTGACTTGTCGTGCATCAAATCACCACCCAGTGGTGCAGATCCAGTCAATCTGTGATGGCAAGTGTGACTAGCAAGAACCACCCATAGCATAGCCTCAAGTTGACACAGGTGTAACACTGCACATTGTAATGGTACAATAGCTCTGGGAATACCCTTTACCTGATGTGCAAACAAAACTAGAGGCAATGTCACTCACCAAAGCCCCATCCTTTGGGAGGCTCAGCCTTGAGAATGTAATCACCCTTGTCATAGAGAGGAATCAGATAGTAGCCAGTGTTGGGGGCACAGTCGGTCTGGTACTTGATACTGCCATGTGGTGTGTACAACTTCACCTGGGGTATGGAAGGTTAGTTTCAGGATCAGTATGTAATGGATTGTGTGTGTTGTTTTACATCCCGCCCTGAACCACTAAAAACATGGAGTCAACTTTAAATGCATTCAAAAAACCAGGAAATGTATGAATCATAAATAGGATGAATTCAAGAAAGGTAACTAGATAAAGGTCTAGACAACAGTTTGTATCATCAGTTTTATAACAAAGAAGATGATAATACAATGGGCAGCAGGAACAGACAGAGAATCTCTCAATAAGCAACAAAATGTGAAATAAACGGATTGAGGAGATAAGGAGGTCCAACAGAAACCCAAACAGTGTGAGACAGGACAAAAGTGGTGAACTTTCCATTCATGATACTGAAAGGACTGCACAAGGTGAAACTGTAAATAGTATGGTATGCCTTATGTGACAGACTGACAACAGGAAGAGGATGGTTCCCCGCTGTGTCTACTTTCATATTTGCTATCTAAGCATGAGGACATCAGATAAGGAGATGTGCAGGGAGAAAGTGAGAAAGACCACAAAGAAACATTCTTGACTGGCTTCTATTCTTGGCACCTAAGGATATAGGAGTTTGCAAGATGTAGAGAAGAAGCATGATCACCCATGCCAGCTGGATTTAGTGCAGCACTTGATGATGACAGGTCTTGCTTATTCCTTGGCTGAACCAGTAGATCTTTTGTTTAGTGTGTGGGTTCAGACACTGAAGTGTCCATATCTCATCCATCCTAGCTGTCCAATGCCTACAGTGTCAGAGATGCCATTCAGTCTGTGTTTTATATAACTACTAGCATAAGTAAATAAAGTAAAGCAAAGGACCCCTTTCCCCACTTTCAGATGTCTTGGGCATAAAGAGCTAGACTTATTTGTTACAGACCAATTGGCACTCAGTGGGTTTTGTGGTCAAATATCTGGCCGGACCACCTTTACTTGCAAGGAACTTACATAGTACTAATTTAAGGCTGGGTTGACCACACAGCCAAGGTCATTTATGGAAAAGTCAAGCTCCATCATGATCTGAACCCACGACCTTCAGATCTGCAGGGAAGCATCTAGCTGCTACAACATGGCGGCGCCCAACTACTAACATGCTAGTGTGGATTTGCTGACTCAATGTCATGGGGATCTTTTTCTTCTTTTTAGCGTTCACCAGCTGTAAACTCCGGCGAAAAGTTTCAGTTGTTCGTCCATCTCTGGACTTTACTCTTGTTTTAGAACCTGAGTGTTGCATGCGCATTTGTTTTAACAGATCTGACTCAACTGTATGCAGATTGTTGGTTCCTTGCCTCTCAGGCAGATGCATTGAGACTTCGAAGGAAGCCCCCAATTAGTCGTCTCTTATGACATACTTGTTGAGGAGGCAGTGGGCCTATTCTTGTTATGCCACACAATGGGGGCCCGGAACTTACAGAGAGGACATAAAGAGGACATAAGTTGAGGAGGCAGTGGGCCTATTCTTGTTATGCCACACAATGGGGGCCCGGAACTTACACAGAGAGGACATAAGTTGAGGACATAAGTTGAGGAGAGGACATAAAGTGAGGAGGCAGTGGGCCTATTCTTGTTATGCCACACAATGGGGTCCCGGAACTTACACAAAGAGGACATAAGGATGAGATGAGGTGCTTCTCAGTGGTGGCCAAGATAGGACTTTATACATGGTTACTTCTGCCTATATTCAACATGATGAAAGTTAAGTACTTGACAGAGATTCACTTGTACAGACAATTACAAATACACAGTTTATGCTCAAATAAAAAAAAATAAAAACAATATGCATTGTGAAAATGTGCAGGTAATTATAATTTGATTGATGAAATGTGAACTTTACACTTTCAAGTTGTTTTGTTTTTCAAGTGTGAACATAATGCCCTGCTATAAAGGGAAAACATTTCAAAGTTTATAGACAGTTTCTGAAACAACAACTGAACAAGTCCCCAGTAAGCAAGTTTAGCAACTCCCTCAGCTAAGCAACTTCTAGAGTAGGGTTACTGAGTATTCAACAAAATGTTCTCAAAGCTCGAAATTTTGAAAATGAAAATGGGTATCCCCATGGGCCACGCCCCAGCATTGACAGATCATAATATACTACAACTGGCAAAAATCACAGGCCACTTGCTATGCCTCCGCGGGCCAGATTTTGCCCGTGGGTGGCCATTTGAATAGATAGCCCTGTCTAGTGTAAGTGAGTGTAACGTCTCAAGGGACGATGGCGTCTCCTTAGTGTTGTCACGTACAATCGTACATTACATGATCAAGAAATTGGTTAACAGTTACAAGATCAAGATGATTATTTAATATGCCAAAAATTAAGTATAAATATGATAGCATGTAAATGACAGATCTGTACTTTACAGCTAAACAGGAAAAGTGTATGATAAATAGTATGTCCTTTATACGTTATATGACTTAATGACTGCTGTGGTGAGTGACATCTAAATTGACTGTCTGTCCCACTGCTGCCAGCAAAGTGAGTGGTGACAAATCAAATTATTTTATTAGATTGCCGCTAATATCTACCTCAACTAAAGAATAATTTATGTCCACGTCTGATTTGACGAATCCTCCACATCCAAGAACGCCATCTGCAGCTCCTTGAGCAAATAACAAAGAAAATAATAAAATAGTGCACAAGACAACAACGGTCACAGCTCTAACGGTCGCCATGCTCAATGGAGACAACCATAACCGGAAATCGTCAGGAGGTGAGAATCTCAAAAATATGGATTCCTCTACAGATGTATGTTTCCCTTTTATAACCCTGGAGGTTGAACAGGATAGTCTTGAACAATTACTCAAACTACTAGTATTGTATTTTAGATTTTTCTTTGTATGAAACATGATGTCTCCATGCAAATTGGCACCATAAAATTCCAAACAGGTGCTTATACACTGTAATCAGTATGCAGCTAATAAAGAAGCAATCTGGCTTGTCCCAACTTCAGTAAAAACAAAGTTGTATGGTACACGGGGATTTATTGGACTGCACGATATCTTTCATCAAGATATCCGGCCTCCTGTTATAAGATTTCTTACCGAAAGATCAAAGAAGATGCTGAAGAAGAAGAAGAAGAAAAAGAAGAAGAGGGATGATTTAGCGTGTTCAAGGGTCCTTAAAATGTTCGCCCTTAAAAAGGCCGTGCATGTTATGACGGAAGAGAAGGCTAGACCTTGATCCATATGTGACATGGTAACGGCACAACACAGCAGGATACTGGTGGTGGTAGTTGTTGTGATGGTAATAATTAGGGCTGTACCGAATAGAGATTTTTACTATTCGGCCGAATACGAATAGCTGGACCAACTATTCGGCCGAATGCGCATACGAATAGTAAATCATCATCATAAGGTGCTTCGCCGACTGATATGGGCGATTATGCCTCGCCACAATCTGCGATCTCCTGCAGCATGTATTAGTTCGTGTGCTGACACACCTCCAAGCCATGCAACAAGACTGTCAAGAATCTTCTCTTCCTCTATCCCTCCTTCCACATATCTTTCCAATGGTCACCACATGTTCCATTTTCCCTCATCCTATAACATGGCTGAAAAATGATAACTGTCCCCATCTGATGTCTGTGAGTAGTTGTCTTCGGGCTCCCGCCTCTTTCAAAACCTCTTGGTTGCTTTTTGTGTGGCTGTCCAGAGTATTTTAAGCATTGTTCTGTAATACCACGTCTCTGAGCACCGCTCGCCTCGGTTCGATGTTCGTTCACTAGTCTTCTTATAGTGAGCACTGCCCGACCCAGTTCATAGCTGGTTTACCAACCTTCTTGTAGTAAGCACTGCTCGTCTCGGTTCGATGTTCGTTCACTAGTCTTCTTGTGGTAAGCACCGCTCGACTCAGTTCGATGTTCGCTCACTAGTCTTCTAGTAGTTAGCACTGCCCGACCCAGTTCATTGCTGGTTTACCAGTCTTTTTGTAGTAAGCACAGCTTGCTCCAGTTCTATGTTCGTTCACTAGTCTTCTTGTAGTGAGCACTGCTCAACCCAACACAGTTCATTGCTGGTTTAGCAGCCTTTTTGTAGTGAGCACCGCTCGCCCCAGTTCGATGTTCGTTTACTAGTCTTCTTGTAGTGAGCACCGCTCGCCCTAGTTCGATGTTCGTTTACTAGTCTTCTTGTAGTGAGCACCGCTCGCCCTAGTTCGTTGTTCGTTCATCAGTCTTCTTGTAGTGAGCACCGATCGCCCCAGTCTGATGTTCGTTCACCAGTCTTCTTGTAGTGAGCACCGATCGCCCCAGTCTGATGTTCGTTCACCAGTCTTCTTGTAGTGAGCACCGATCGCCTCAGTCTGATGTTCGTTCACTAGTCTTCAAGCAGTAAGCACTGCTCGCTCCAGTGTATTGCTGGTTTACTAGTCTTCTTGTAGTAAACACTGCCGGCCCCAGTTCGATGTAGGTTCACCAGTCTTCTTGTTGTGAGCACTGCTCGTCCGAGTTCATTGCCTGTACACCAGTCTTCTTCTTGTGAGCACTGCTTGCCCCAGTACATTGCCTGTACACCGGTCTTCTTGTAGTGAGCACTGCTCGTCCGAGTTCATTGGCCGTTCACAAGTCTTTTTGTAGTGAGCACTGCTCGCCCCAGTTCACTGCCGGTACACCAGTAATGCATCTTCCATCTGATGTTATCCATGTGCCCAAGTACTTAAATTTCCGAATTGTCCCAAAATAAAACCATTGACTTTCATTACACATTTAGCAGTAATTATCTTCTTTGATACTACCATTACTACTGTCTTCCCACTATTCAAACTAAGGCCCATTGCTCCACTTTCGTGTATAAAATAGATCTAAAACGAAAACATCCATAATGTCAAATGTACACTGACATTTTACTTCACAAAATGTAGTACAGAATAGTAAACATTTAAATACATTTCATGTTTTGCATTCTTCAGTCAGTCAGTCTGTGGTAACTAATACATAGGAGTGAAAGTATTCTTAGTTTTATAACAAGTAACTAAACTTGTAAATTGTCACTGACAGCTTAATTAATCCATGACAGCGGCATTAGCTTTCTACACACACACACACACACACACACACACACACACACACACACACACACACACACACGCACGCACGCACGCACGCACGCACGCACCCACGCACCCACCCACGCACGCACGCACGCACCCACACCCACACACACACAAATCGTTCCATGTTGTCAGCATTAAGAAAGCTTCTTGTCTCACTGAAGGTATTTCCAGCTTCACTAAACACACGTTCACTTGGTACGCTCGTGGGTGGTGCACAGAGATAACAATGGACAGTATGAACCAAGGTTTGAAATCTTGATATGTTTAATTTCTACCAGTTAAGGAACAGATGTAAGGTAACCACTATTCGTATTCGGCCCGACCGCAACTATTCGGCCGAATACCGAATAGTTATTAGGTCCACTATTCGGCCCCGAAGCGAATACGAAGCGAATATTCGGTACAACCCTAATAATATTGATGATGTTGGGAATGCTATAGAACTAATCCTGGTGTACGGGAGCGAATCCCGATCACTCAGTCTATTGGTGAAAAAGTATCTGAAAGCTGTATTATGACAACACAAAGGATAGTTAATGGTTAAAGCTTGTCGAATGGATCAACTTCATTGTATCGGGTTTTGTCCCATATAGTTCGGTCTCTCTCCGCAAAAAAACCCGCCGAGAGCCTCGCACAAAGCATGAACTTGGTAGCTCCGGTGACGATCACATAAATCTTAAATGATTTTATCCCATGAAGACAATTACCTACCAGAATCAGAGCGAGAAATCTGTGATCCTTGGTTTACAAAGTGAGAAGGGGAAAACTGACGTATATTTTACAACGGGGACGTTGAAGAGAAGGGGGAGCAAGGAAGACGGAAGGAGAAGATGCTGGCTGTAGCAGAGACACTCCAGTGGTGTTAATGTGATACATCCTTGGTTTGCCTACTGTGGCCGGCGAAGTCATATCTCAGAGTTGCTCCAGACACTGATAACCCTTTGCCCGAAGCTCTGGACACAGTTAAGGGTCAGCGGCTGATAAGAAGAAAGTCACGGATGGCTTAGGCAGAAGACAAGTCAGACAGGTTTGCATTCTGGATAACATTACACGAGGAGAGGAGTGGGTCAGAGTACCCGTGGAACAGTCAGATTTGTGTAGAGTCATAATAATCACTTTGAGCCTGGAGTGAAGGGAATGTCTAGCAGGTGTCACGGAGTTGGAAATTCGGCAATAAATTAAAGATAGTTATCGATCAGAGGATGTGATTAATTATACAGACGGTTCAGTGTCATGAGGCAAAAGAAGTGTCTGGGGTTTTTTAGCAAAAGTTAAAGGTCGACTATTGGTACACGAGAGCCTAGCAAATGATACCACAACATCCAGCTTAAGAATGGAGGTGGAGGCGGTCACTACAGTTTTCCGCTGATTAGAGAACAAGACACATACATTGTGATTGTAACTGACTCAGAAAGCATGCAGGGGAAGGCGAGGACAGGCATGTTTTGTGCAGAGTGGCATGTTTTGTGCAGAGTGGCATGTTTTGTGCAGATGGCACTCATCGCTGCAGAGGTCATCGTTCCTAAGTATATCAACCTCGTTACACTTAGCATAATACGCAAATATTTAATTTCTGTAGTGACTATTTTTCGTCTGAACTCTGTAGCTGGCTGACTGAACTTTTTTTTTAACCTTACTAGGACATCACACAAGCGATAAACACCCGGTGACACAGAGTGCTACTAAACTATGCGTTTGAGGATCACCCGTGGAGAGCTCCCAGAAACCCCCATTTCAGCCGTTAGTCTATATCTACGGCTAGGCCATATCTATGCCCTGGCTATATTCAAGGCCCCTGTCAGAAGCCAGGGTGGGGCTTCAAATAACAATAAACTGCATCCGGCATGGGGACGATTTGTTTACATACTCTGAACTCTGTGGTTCATGTAAATCCTGAACTATACTTTGAGGATTATTGGAACATTCCAGACACTTTGGCTGCCAGATTAGCTCTTAAGAATTGATCTTTCAATTTTCAAAATATAAATGTATACACTGTTATACATTGTTTAGTATTAAATTACAAACAAAATTGTAGCTAGAATAAATAATATGTCCTTCATAACATCAAATTATTTTATAAAAATGTATTCTTTGGCTAAAATGAAAGATATGCTATTAAGGCTTTCCTTCTAAGAAAAAACTGCAGATACCGGAACAAGACGGCAGACGTCAAATCTGCGTCCGAGATTTGTTTGTGAATTCTTGCACTTCGTTCTGTTCTTTTCGTAAAATGGCAGAGTATCTAGCCTCAATTTTTGGCACTGAAAAGGATAAGTGCGTACACTGGATAAATATTTCTCTTGTTATCTGTAACGTTTATGTCTAGTCAATTGGTATCAAATTCATTTGATCGCAGCTTGTCATTCAGGGAACACGTTGACCATGCGATAACAAAAGCACGCAAAGGTCTATCTGCAATGAGGATTATGGCTGCTTCCAATATCGAGCAAAGACTACTAATACTTCTATTCTACGGTCTGGTCCTTTCACCCATTGAATACGCTCTGGCCATCCTCACTGTCAGTGCAACCCAGATTGAACGACTCGAGAAGGTGCAAAATGAAGCCATGCGTATTATTTTGGGATGTACAAGAGACACATCCTGTGGAGCAATGAGGTATCTACTTGACTTTCCAACAATGAACCAAAGGATCAGGATGTGGAGGGCTCGGGCATACCTCAAAATATGTGCTGATAAGAAACACCCACTGCATCAAGCGCTTTTTAGTGAAAAGGGCGACAGACTGAAGAGGGGAAAATCGTGGCTAGGTCGGGCAGAAGATGTTATTAGGCAAATATGCAGCCTAACCGACATCATACCTGGTGCAGAATGGATACCTGTGCCTCAGGCGTTTATTTGTACATTTTCCTGTATTGTCACACTCAACAGGCGATGTAGAGAAGAGAATCCTGTTGCTGTTAATGCAGAGGTCAACGCTCTCATCGGTGAAAATTCAGACGAAGCAGATGCACTAATCTATACAGACGGATCCGTTATACGCCAAAGAAGAAGCGCATGGGCATTTACAGCACGCTCAGCGGGCAGAACAGTCAAAGAAGCCAACGGCGCCTTCTCCATGACAACCAGCAGCATGACGATGGAGGTGATGGCAGTGACGCAAGCGTTTGCCTGGCTTGAAACACAAAAATACACCCGCATATGTATACTCAGTGATTCAATGAGTATGATCCGGAGGGTTCAGGCAGGTTCAGTGCGAAGACAATGGCTTGAATCAATTCAGAAGTCTACTGTGCGAGGAGTCACCTTTATTTTTGTTCCGGGACACGCAGGCGTCGATGGAAATGAAAGAGCTGACAGGCTGGCTGGATCCGCTATCACTACCGACGGTCGGCCTATGGATCATGCTGATATTATCAATGCCCTCAGAGAAATGGGAAGGATAGAGGACTTTGGTGGCAGTGAATCCACATCACTCGCCAGAATGGCAGACTTGGGAATTAAGATCGGCACAGCAAAAAACGAGACGCACACCGGACACGTCAGAAGATTTGTTAATCAACATAGAACTGGTACTATTAGCCATCGGACGTTGGGATTCATACTGAGGGGAGGATCTGAGCACCTATGGACATGTCCGGAGTGCAATGATGATAACCCAACTAACTAACTAACTAACTCATTTGTTTTTGTTATTGAAATTGCCGACTCCTTTTTCAAATAGTTCTGTCAGTCACAGTAAGTCTGAGTAAGAGTTGCCCTTTTCTCTAAGGTCTAAGTGTCTGTTTAAAAAAAATGTCTTTACTTTAGCAAATTTTGTTGAACTATAAATATTAAAATTGTGACCATGGATAGTCCTTGAAAAATTCAGCCCAGCAATGCCTCATTTAGTTTTGTGCATCAGTTCTGATGAGATAACTTTTGTATGTAAATTGAAATTAATGTGTACTACTACTGTACCAACCAATATTGATGTGTGATTGTACTTCTTATGACAGATATATGTTAAAGCATAAGGCGTATCTTGCACTACAAATAATGCTAGAATAGAAAGATTCTCAGTATACAATTACCTTAAAAGATCTAAGCATCAAGAAAGATCGGCTAGTAATCAGCATCTTGTCTCAGAAACTGAAATAGGCTGTCTTTCGAATAACGGGCACTAAAGATGGCGGCCGCAAAATATCTGTTCAAGCCACAGTCACGTATCAATTGCGCACTTCCGGCTACTTAATTTGCGGTTTTCCGGCGGCTATCACCACCGCCACGTGGCCCCCACGCCGCTAAACTAGATGGCTAGGACTCGCGAGCAAAGCTGCAGTAAATGCGTAAGCTGCTGCTCGTGAGTCCTAGCCATCTAGTTTAGCCCTAATCCACTCAGCGTGGGGGCCATATGGCGGTAGCGGTTGTTGGTGGAAAACCGCAAATTAAGTAGCCGGAAGTGCGCAATTAACGCTTGACTGCGGCTCGAACGGATATTTTGAGGCTGCCATCTTTAGTGCCCGTTATTCGAAGTATAGCTCTGAAATATTTTGGCCATATCAGACGCCACAGCTTATTAGAAAGAATAATTGCATGGTGCCAGGAAGGAGTGACAGGGGCCAGCTACCACAGGATATAAGTGACACCTTCTTCAGCATTCCAAGTCATTGATGTTCACTGCTGCAGATATAACCCGCCTCCATTCATCTCTCTGGTTGGCCTTCTTCAGCATTCCAAGCCATTGAGGTTCACTGCTGCAGATATCACCCACTTCCATTCATCTCTCTGGTTGGCCTTCTTCAGCATTCCAAGCCGTTGAGGTTCATTGCTGCAGATATCAACCACCTCCATTCATCTCTCTGGTTGGCCTTCTATTTCCAGTTGTGACACCAACTGTTTTGTAGATCTGTCTTGACAATATCTTCTCCATCGTCTTCTTGATCTGCCTCGTGGTCTGTGATCATTTAGCTACCTTGTGTTTGAAGATTTTAGTTTACCTCTCTGTCATCTGATATTCTGTCAATGTGCCTCAGCCATTTCAGTCTATTAGCTATCTTGATCCAGTGATCAGTGATGATTTAAACAGATTATGAATTGACACCTTGGTTATGTAAATGCACAAGGCAGTAGATCTAACTAGAGACCAAGTTTCAGGCAGGCTGTGATGGGAGAGACGTTCTACAGAAGACCTGCTACATCAGGGGTTCTCAACCTTCCTAATGCTGCCACCCTCTAATACAGTTGCTCATGTTGTGGCGACCCCCCCACCCCCACTATACTGTTGTATTCGTTGCTACTTCATAACTTCAGTTAATATGGGATGGTCTTTGGCAACCCATGTGGACACTCCCCCCCCCTTCCCCCAAAAGGGTCGTGACCCACAGGTTGGGAACCGCTGTGCTACGTGATGATGATCTTACACTATTACAGTACTGATGATGATGTAATTTTGAATGTGTTTTTGTACCTGTTCTGTTTCAGAGTCAACTGTTCATTTTACTTCAAGATTGGGGCATGCAGACATGGTGACCGCTGCTCCCGCTTACATAATCGACCAACATTTAGTCAGGTAGTTGATCGAGCTCCGCTGTGCACTGAAATTGTCTGAATGCTGTTAAAATTTACATTGTTAGTGCCTGTGTGAATTTGAACACTACTATACTTCTGAGATAGTAGTAACAATTCAGTAAAACCTGAACTTGCTAAAAAACACTTCAGTTAACATTTTACATCATAGCAGAAAAGCCATTTGGCCCTGCAGGAAAACCCCTCTTAAACGCTGTTTTTGGTTAATATATTCATATCCAGGCCTGCTAAACACAAATAGAACCACTGGGCTATCCTCCGAATAACAGTCCCAAATTATTGAGGCTAAGAAAATACCCTAACAGGGCCTCAGTCATATGTAAATTGCAGACCTCTTTCTGGCGACTATACCGCCACTGCCGAGAGTATCCCCTGCGCAGCGGTTGCATTTGCACTGTATGCGGAATATTCACCAGAAAGAGGTCCACAATTTACTTATGACTGAGGCCCTGTAAGGGTATTTTCTTAGCCTATATAATTTGGGACTATTATTTATAGGATAGCCAACCTTACTTACTTAGTCGCTCCTCTTCTACCTTGGGGTGTAGAGGTTTGCCAGAGAGATCGCCAGACATCTCTATCAGCAGTTTTCTTTCTGGCTTTGTTCCATTCCAGTCCTCTGTCAGTCAGGGACTGTCGGATGTTGTCTTCCCAGCGCACCCTGGGTCGTCCCGGAGGTCTGGTTCCCTGGTTCTTAGCCTCCCATGCTTGCCATGGTGGCCGATTTTCTCCCATTCTGCACACATGTCCAAACCATCGTAACTGTGACTGATCCACTCGGGTTAGTAAGGGCTGGGTATCAAGATCTTGACGTATTGTCTGATTGCGGACTTTGTCCCTTCTTGTCACTTGGACCACCTTTCTCAGGTATCTCATTTCCGAGGCCTGCAGCTGACTTCTGTGAGCTGTTGTCATTGCCATGATCACACCCATAGGTCAGGACTGGTACATAGGTAGAGCGGTAAACAGCCATTTTCGTCCTCCTTGCCAATTTCTCTTTTGCTAAGAAACCCTCGGTTTATGGCCTGGAAGAGTCTCCCAGCAGCTGCTTTTTTCGTGTAGCCAGCTCAGTCTTAATGCCTCCATTTTCGGTCTAATACAACTCCAAGGTATTTGAACTGGTTAACCTGCTCCAACGCATACTGACCCATCATGATCTGGTGTTTCTTCTCCTCTCTTGAGATCACCATGGTTTTAGTTTGGAGGACACTGAGTGGTCATCCCTTTCTTTTCAAGCTCTTCTTCCTTCCAGACAAGTAAGGTTGGACTGAAGGTGTGCCTCTGATTTAGCTATCAGGGCCACATCGTCTGCAAAAGCCAGCTCTGATATACAGATTGGTCTCATCTTCCAGTACCCTACAGAGTACTTCTTGTCTTCTCCTTACAGGTCTTGATGACATCATCCTCATAAGAATGAAGAGGTAAGGTGAGAGAATATCACCTTGTCTAACACCACTGGTGGTCTTAAATTCTTCTGACTTTTGGTCTGCTGTTCTTACATAATTTCTGCACTTTTTGTAGAAAAATCTGTATTGCACTGATCAGGGGTGCTGGGATGTTTTTCCCTGCCAAGCAGTCCAGAGCTTGTTCCAGGGTACCTTGTCAAATGGCCTTTTCCATATCCAAAAAACATAAGTGAATCTCACTCTTATATTCCAGGGCTTTTTCACTCATCTGTCTCAGTGTGAAGATAAGGTCTTGAGTACTTCGGTTTGCTCTGAAGCCGCACTGGGCCTCGTCCAGCTGTGGCTCTACCAGACTTCTAAGTCTCTGCTCAAGAATTCTAGAGTAACTTTTACCGGGAATGCTGAGGAGGGATATGCCTCTGTGGTTTTCACATTGTCTGTTATCACCTTTTTTAAATATAGGTATAATGATGGCAATCTCCCAATCTTTTGGTATAGTTTTGCTACACCAGGCTGCCTGGAGAACCTTCAGTAGAAGGCGCTCACCTTCGACTCCCATATATTTGACCATCTCTGGTGTTATACCATCATGACCTGCTGCTTTTCCCAGCTTAATCTTCTCAATAGCTGCCTTCAATTCTTCCATCCTGATGTTATCTTCCCCATGATTGAATTCCTTCTCAGCAGTGAGGTCCATTATTTCTGGGTCATGACTTCCCTCAGCGCCGAGGAGCTCTGAGAAGTATTCTTTCCATCTGCCCATGATATCATTTGTAGAAGTAAGCAGAGCCCCTTCCTTGTCTTTTATGAATTTAAGTGGGCACTCTTTCTCCTTCCTCATGTTCTTAAGGGTCTTGTAGAACAGTTTTTGGTTTTCTCTTGCATTCTTTTCCAACTTTTCTCCAAACTCTTCCCATGATTTCTGTTTTGCTTTAAGCACAATATTTTTGGTCTCTGTTCTGAGTGCCACATATTGTTTATATTTTTCTATTTCTTCAGCTGTGTTCCTGGCTGCCAGGTATTGCTTCCATGCCCTTTTCTTTTCTCCTATTTTCAATTTGACTTCTTCTGTCCACCAAGGTGTCCTGTGTCCCCGCCTTCCACTTGGGACTTCACCACATGCTTCTACTGCAGCTGCTGTGAGGATATTCTTGAATCTGCACCAGAGAGTTTCAGTGTCCTCTGATGATTCTTCTTCAGTTCCTATTGCTTTCACTATAAGCTCCTGGTATCTAGCCTTAATATCTGGCTCTCTTAGCTTGTATGCTTTAATCCTCATCCCTTCTTGGTTGCTTGGTTTCTTGCATAGTTGTCGGTGTTGCCTTGTTGGAGCAGTTCTTTCAGTTGTTCTCTTTATTGTGACCAGATAGTGGTCACTTCCAATCTCTGGTCCTCTCATGACTCTGGCATCTCTCACAAACTTGAATGAACTTTTCCTAACTATGGCGTAGTCAATGATGGATTTTTCATTCTTTGAAGGTTCACATCTTGTGTATGCATGTATACGCTTGTGGGGGAATTTTGTGTTTGTAATGACAAGGTTCTGTTCCCTGCAGAATCTGAGAAGTCGCTTGCCATTATCATTCAAAACATCTTCACCATATCTCCCGATCACTCCACCCCATCTAGAGTGATCATTTCCTACTCTGGCATTTAGATCTCCTAGGAGGATAATTTCATCGTGACAGTCATCTATGGTCTTTTGGAGCAGTTCAAAGAATTCTTCTTTAACATCTACTCGCTCATCTTCATTTGGCCCGTACACAATGACAAAATTGACAATTTTATCTTCTTCTTCTTTCAGATCTAACACCATTATTCGCTCTGAGATGAATTTCCATCCCTTGATGTTACTAACTTGATTCCTGGCCACAATACAGCCAACACCTCCCTTGGCTCTCTCCGTCATAGGGACACCACTGTAGAGCAGCATACTTCCATCGTGATCTGTGATTCCTTGCCCCTTTTTCTTGGTTTCAGTCAGAGCCAAGACTCCTAATTTTGCTTTCCTCATCTCCCCTACTAACTCGTTTTCCTTTCCGTTAATGCCTCTTATATTCCATGTTCCATAAATCGTAGTCCGTAAGCCATGCCAGTTCGTCGCCGTTAAGATCCGTCCGGTTTTCTCTCTGTAGTTACTTGTAATCGTGGTTTAAGGCAAACAGGTGATTGGCCTGTTGTGCCTTTGCATGGTGGAGGGGCTGCCTCCTTGCGGCCTCCATGCAGGCCGTCTGGCTGATTCACGGTTACCCACTACTTCCGGAGACGCATGAAGCACTCAGGTTCAGCCAGACCCTCCTCCTTTTACAGCCGGGCTTGGGACCGGTCTTAGCGGAGTTGGATAGCCAACCACTGACATTAAATTGCACTTTTCGAGAACAGGCCACTGCAGAAATCTTGATACATCTGCATTTATGGGATTGCGTCATAACCGAAAGTAACTATATGAGGTCTTCTCAAGGCGAAAGGGTTAAATGGGTGATGGTACTAATCATGGAATTCACCCCATCTTGCTCAGCCGTGTAATGTCTTATTTGTTCCACAGGCTATCTATGTTCGAGGGGTGTCAGATGTTGCTTGTTTTTAATGTTTTAAGCACCATCATCAATAATGACAGCTACCACCACGTTCATAGAAATTCAAAATCAGTAATTCGGTACAAACTGTTACGCCTTTGAGCTGCAATATATCTTCCTTGTACACACAACAATACAGTCGATATACAACAGTCGCTCACAGAAAAGACAGTTGCTATAAGAAAGCTGTGCAGTTTCGTTTGGGAGACAGTGTGTCAGCAATGTCGAATGAACGCGAGCCAGTTTTTGCTACGGTGTGTATAGACGGAGGAGGAAGGCATCTCATGACACCCCTAGAACATAGAACAGCACCCTTTGAGCGGCCACGAGATCTCACGCACGAGTGAGATGGGGGTGAATTTCATGATTAGTACCTGAGTGACAACTTATATGTCACCTCACATTAATTGTAGGGAAGGCTAACCCAGTCAACAAATCCCTGCAGAAGTGGGATGTGTCAGCCGAAAGGAGCAGGGATCACAGCTGTGCTGTAAATGAGCACAATGCAGTTACATCTTCAAATAAACGTTGGAAGTTGTAGGATCAAGATAAACTCTCAGGCAGTGTAAATCACAATCATTGTGTTTATTGAAGACTTACCTGAGCACTAATTAGTTTTATCTCAAGTAAATGTTTTGCTTGAATGAATGTCGCTTGGTTCTTTTTTTGTTTGTACACCATGTCACACTTTGTCTTGTTTATATCTCAGTGAGCAGTGTCTTTTTTTCCTGCACAGACAATCCTACTTCAGAACCTGTATTTAAACCCACAGAATGCAGCACTAACAGCTGACGGATCACACAGTAAGTTCTAGAGTTTTAGAGAAACAATGTAGAGATAAGAGAGAAAATTAGATAAAATTCTTGTTTGCTTCCATTTCTAGTTTGAAAAGATCAAAGTATATTTCCAATGTAAGACAGGGAATTAGGGAAAGCTGCTGTGTAAGCAGCTAATTGTATCATGCTGTTTATATTATTATTGCAGTTTTTCATTAACCAACTCTTTTAGTCCCAGAAGATTGCAGTCATCCAAGAGGGATGTTAACTTGCATGAAAAAGTCTGAAATATTACTATAATCTAGGCATATTCTTTGCTGGATTTTTTTCTAGAAAGTATATCAGATATTAAAATACAGTGGTGTTTCATGATACGGTGGCTCAATAGCCAGTCCCACTTGGCGCGTTGTTTAGGCAGAATGTGTTAAGCTTGGATTCAAATAAGTATGTATGTTGTATGTAAACAGTTATTTAAGTTTTGGATACAGCCAGGGAACTGGAATAGATCCTTTTCCCATTTAAATACATTTTTGTAAATGTATTTAAAGACATTTTGTTCTTTTTTAACTAAGCTTTGGTTTTATTGGGCATTTTTGCTGTGAAATTTATGTTGCAGATTATTATTGCATGTTTTTTTTAAAACCATTAGCCGTTGTTCATTCCACATTACTGCCTACTTCAGAATTGTGTTTTCTATGTAACATTAGTTGCACAAGGAACAGTGTGAATTTGGAGAGATTATCTTTGTAGAAGACCATGACAAAACTTAAGACTTTGGTTGTGGCGGCAACATTTTTATCATCAAACAAGAGCAAGTGGATACTGAAATAATATATACTGGTGTTCAGCAGGAAATCCACTAGTGAAAGCAAGCTGGACAATTTAATATATATATATAAGTCTGACAAGGAAATAAAGGGACATTGACATAAAGTAGCTTGTATGATTCTTGGCAATTAAAAAAGTGGAACTGCAGTAGGGCTGGTAGTGGAATCAGAGTAGGGAAAGGGCAGCTTTACAAGAGAAACAACACAGACGGAAGCATGGAAATTACAGCAAAAAAGCTTTCATCATCATGCAAAGATAACTAGGTGGTGGAATAAGAGTGTGGAAAATATGCTGAGGTGAAATGCAAAAAGTTCTACCAAATAAATACAGTCACACCAGAATGTTCATATTTTAATGAGACTGTCACGAAAGCGAGAAACTCGCAACAGAGAATTATGAAATGAATATCATGAATGTGACATTTTGTTGTAAAATAATTTTCTTTTCATGCTACAGTTGATTGAGAGGGGACTTTGGCACTAGAGACATTTGAGGTATAGAGTGACGACTGGTGTGTGACAGATTCATGTTAGTTTGTTATTATATGCATTTGTGATGTTTTGTATTAATATGGCACACTGAGTTGCCACATTGTATGAAATAGAAAGTAATTAAGTAATTTTGGCTGTCTGCGACACTTGCTCTGTCTTTACTCCTGCGGTCTTAAAAATGGTGGTTGAGTTCAAGGGCGTGTGTTTTGTATGTTAATTGCCGGGTGCTTGAAACGGTGTTGTTTGTTTCCTACAGCTGTGAAGGAGTGGTTAAAACAAACATTTTTAGATCAGCATGGGAATAAATATGACTTGTTGTTGTTATCGATCCAGCGGCGCATGAGCTTCGCCCTTTGGCCCAATGCCATGTAGTGGAATTAGCATGTTTTCACAAGCTGTTCTTTTCCTCCTTACAAGGTGTTCCACTTGTCTGGTCTCGGAGGGAGTAGCATTCTTCAAGTATCGCTGAGTTTTGGGCACTCAAAGAGGTGGTGTTCAACAGTTTTGTAGGGGTAGTTATATAGCTGGCACTCTGGGGAGTGTTGTGTCTGTATTCTGTTTAGGTGTCCACTGAGTGGAGTATGTTGTGTTTTAAGTCTGAAGATTGTGGCCTGGTCCCTTCTTGTTAGATGGTTAATGCTGTCACTAGGATCAGGGCCAGCCATATGTTTATAAACCTCTCTTCCAGTGTCTCCCATGGCCCATCTCTTCAACCAAGTCTCTTTGTTTATAGCTCTTATAAGTGTTTTTGCTGTGTGCAGGGCTGTCGCTGTATGTGGTTGTTCTTGTGTTGCTCCTTTCTTTGTCAATCTGTCGGCTCTGTCATTACTTGGTGTGCCGGCGTGGCCTGAAATCCACTGCATCACTATTCTGATGTTGAATGAGGTAATAAGCTGATCAGCATCCAGGATTATCTTGGCTATGTCAGTTCTGCAGTGTTCACTGCCCACATTCACAAATATGGCTTAAAGACACTGTTTTATGTAACAATATGTGCATAAGGGTATGTGAGTTTTAAGTTACGGTCCAACAATTAAGGGCATATGAGACGATTGGTAGGATGTATACACAATGTGTGTGCTTCTGCAACAGTTGGCAGCTACATCTGACAATATTTGCTGCAGGAAACAGCCTTTGGTTACGCCCATCCCCTTGTGGGTTCAGAGAGAGAGGGGGGGGGGGGGGGGGGAGGACTCACTATCCCCCTAGCTAACGTGTCCAAAAGTAAAGATCCCTTTTCACGTTTTTAGGCCCATCGAGTATATAGGAAGAGCGCCCATATTTTTACAGACCAATTGGCACTGAGTGGGTAATGTGGTCAGCATTACGCCGGCCATGTTTACTTCCCCAGGACATACATCCTGGTACCCATTTTAGGCTAGGTCGACCTGCGAGGCCCCATACCATGATAAAAATTCACGCAGCCAGCAGTGGGGTTCGAGCGCGGTACGTCCTAAAAGGCGTCTAATTGGTTTTTTCCTTCAGAATGCATCTGCCTGCGAGTTGAGGAACTAGCAGTGTGCGCATAAATAAGCCAGATCTGTGAAATGGGTGTGCATGCAAAACTCAAGTTCTAGAAATAAGGCTTCAGTCCAGAAGTGGGTGAACAGCCAGAACTTTCCACCTGAGTTTAACAGCTGGTGAATGCTGAGAAGAAAAGGTGGTTATGCCCAGTGTGCTATGATGTCATTTCTTACAAATCAGTCAGTCACTGCTTTGATGTGGGCTGGCAAATAGTTTCATCTTCATTATGAATGTGAGTGTCTCGAGGCATGGCGTCCACCTTGGATGCTGGAGGTCCCAGGTTCAGGCTGGGATTTTTTCACGTGGATTTCTAGTAATTTTCTCTGGTCTCTGGGTGGTAAGATCGGACGCCCGTATGTATTGTTGCGCAGGTAAAAAAAATCCATTGGTGGTTGGAAATCGAAAAGAGTAGCCTAATGAAGCTGCCCAGGCAAAATTTGGACTTAAAACCCATTTCACGATCCTCGCTGTTGCTACAGAGTTGATGCACTGAGCAGAGATTCTTTGGACTCGGGCTCGAGTTAGAAGAAGAACTGAGCACTTATGGGTTACTACCCTTGTGCCTTGATGATCCGTTGTATAAACCAGACCATATTTATGTGAAGTCATTGTTCATATTTAAGCATAACTGTTTTAGACGTGTGCCCTTTGGTGGTATCCTTTATGTATGTCGAGCATGTGGACAAAGTTGGAGATAAACGATCTTATTGTCATTGAAGCACTGTCTGGGAGACTTTGTTTCTTGGTTGAAGGAAACTTCATCCCCTCTACCCCACATGTGACACAAAATGTTGACCCCTTTTCTCCATGGAAATGAAGATTGAGACAAAATGGGCCAGGTAACCCCCTTAAAAATATAAATAAAATGGTTTTGTAAGTGGCATCTCACCATTGTTGACATCAGAGGTCAGTATCAAGCAGAAACAAGTTTTCAGGGTGTCCATGAAGGATATTCTTGAATTATACAGCTTCAATGTATTTTATATTCCACATATACTTCTAATTAATCCACAGTTTATGGACACTAGATTTAACCAAGTAATCACAATTTGTTGTTGATGTTGGTGGGGCTAAGATATTTTCAACAGTTATCTGTATGTAGAAGGCATGGTGTTGTGTGACATATGTTCTTTGGTATCAGAAAACATTCTTAGTGCCCAGTATGAGATTAGCTGACTGTTGCACTTCCTCTCTCAATGCTTACCATAACCATAAAACAAGTGATATAAACCCTGCTAATTTACCCTGATTTATATTATTGTTTGTGTTTGGGGCTTTTGTTTATTTTACATTTTTGTTCTTGCTTTTTCTTATCGTTTTAATTCTACTTTCTTTATTGATTATACCTTGCTCTTTATATTTATGTATTATTATTACTGTAGCGCCTAGACACTTGCTCTTGGATCCGAAGATCATGAGTTCAAATCCGAACGGCGCCAGATCTGTTTGCTTTTTTTTTTTTTTCAAATTAAACCTTGACTTTCGGGTTGACCTAAATGGGTACCAGACTGGTGGGATGTTGAATATAGGTCTAGCACTGTGTGCCCAGTATGCCTCAAAAGGCTCATTTACTTTACTTATGATTGCTGCCTGTTATCTCTTTCGCTACCAGAGGTCAGTTCAATTAGTTGCAAATCAACGCATGAGGCTTTTCCTGGCACCTACAGTTAAACTGAACTGAAGGTTACTTTTCTTTTGGTTGTTGATGTTTTACAGTAGTTGATGATGTTTGACAGTAGTTGATGATGTTTGACAGTAGTTGATGATGTTTTACAGTAGTTGTTGATGTTTGACAGTAGTTGATGATGTTTTGACAGTAGTTGTTGATGTTTGACAGTAGTTGTAGTTGTTGATGTTGTATAGTTGTTGATGATGTTTTACGGTCATTGATGTTTTGCAGTAGTTGTTGAATTACAGTAGTAGTGTTCATTTTACAGTGTTTCTTAGTATTTTCCAGTAGTTGTTGAAATACAGTAGTAGTAGTCATTTTACAGTATTTCTTGGTGTTTTACAGTAGTTGTTGATGATGTAGAAGCCCAGCAGGAGTATGATGCATTCTTTGAAGAGGTGTTCACTGAACTGGAAGACAAGGTAGATGTCTGTGTACTTGTGCCTTGATTTGCATCTTTTGTTTGGTCTGTTTTTATAAATATCATTGTTTCGTAAGTGCATTGGTTGTCATTGTTTCTCATGTTCTGCTTAGCTTGTCATTTTCATGTAGTGCACATGTAGTGCACATATCATTTGCCATGTTTGTCATTTTCAGGTCGTGCAAATATCTTTTGCCATGTTTGTCATTTTCAGTACAAATATCTTTTGCCATGTTTGTCATTTTCAGTACAAATATCTTTTGTCATGTTTGTCATTTTCATGTAGTGCGCCTGTCATTTGTCATGTTTGTCATTCTCATGTTTGTAATTTTCACGTAGTACACATGTCATTTGTCATTTTCATGGAGTGCACCTGTCATTTTCATGTAGTGCACATAAAATTTGTCATGTTTGTAATTTTGTTGCAGTGCACATGTCATTGTTTCACATGTACTTGGGTTTTTGGATCCACTTCTGGACTCTATTCTTGTTCCAGAACATGAGTTTTGTGTGCATATCTGTTAGACAGATCTGGCTTATATGTTAGCTGACTGTTAGTCCTTGCCTCTCGGGCAGATGCACTCTGGTTTAGATGGGAACTCTCCTACTTTTTGCTGGGGGGAGGGGGATAGAGGTATTTGTAAGGAGCCCTATTTCCCTCAGTGGAGCCCTGGGATTCACACACAGATTTGCTGTGATAAATGTGTGTCTTTGTTATCTCATTATGACATCCTGTTCATGTTTCCCGGCCCATCTGAACACTGGCTGACCTTTTATTCACGCTTTCTCAGACTGTTCTACTTCAGAGGGGTGTAAAGTTGTCTTGCCTCTAGTTGCATCAAGGCCGATGTTGCATGTTCCATACTACACAAGGAAACAGCTTTCAACAACCTCAAAACATGTAAACTGGCCCTAACCCAAACCCCCTACCCACAGCCTGAGCCTTGGTCCTATGAGAGACTTTGTTTTAGAAGAAAACAGTACAACCTGACACCCCTCTGACCTAGATCAGACTAAGAAAGTATGTAGATGGGCCGAGAAACGTAAATAGGAACCACTAAGAAGTTAATGCATGTGTAGGCTGTTTGATTTTGCCAGGACTGCTGTCTGTTTTGACTTTCTACATGGGAAGCGATACCCATAAACACTTATGTGATTTCATTGACATGCCAGTGGACAGAGCTTTTATGGGGTGACTTGTTTGCTGGTAAAGTGGGGGCTATGACTGATAACCTGATTATTGTTGTTTTACAACTTATGTCTGTTTTCATTCTTGATGACACAGCATGTATTTAAAATTTTCAGTATTCTGTACAATTTATGTGATTTCAGTATGGGGAAATTGAGGAGATGAATGTCTGCGACAATCTTGGCGATCATCTTGTTGGAAATGTCTATGTCAGAGTAAGTACAGCACTACTATCAGTTTGTAGTTCATCATTGGCTAGTCTGTGCACACTTGGTAATCCTAGGTTGTGAAGGGAAGGAGCACACTATCCCAGGCGCTGATGTACATACGCTGTGTAGACTTGGTTAGAGGAGATAATGGGAGAAGTGTGTAGAGAAACTCACTGGCAGTGTGTTTGTTTGTTAAATGTTCTCTTGTACACATATGTTCTGGGCTGTCTAGCTTCAGCTGTTTGCTGCAGAGACCCATAGTTTGTTTGTCTACGACTGCGCTAGGACAGCGTTTAACCCTTTTCCCTAAGAGAGACACTGATAATCCAGCATCGCTGCCCATTGTAAAACTTCACAAAGACGTAAACAAATGTTACTGCACTGGTCAGTCCCCGACATGCCTAGTTAATAGCATTGGTTCTGTTTGTGCCTGCGTAGTGTTCTGGAGGGATGGTTGTGATTGTATTTTAAAAAAATAAGACTTGGGGTTCCTAGTGAGAAAAAGTTTTTTTTTTTAATGTCATAATTCACCAGTGTGGCTTTTTCATTGCTTGACATAATCGCTGCGAAATTTTTTTTTTTTTTTTTTTTCAATTTTTTTTAAAACTTAGGGAGTTTATTCACTTGATTCGCAGCTCAGATCATATTTATGGATTACCCCCCTTTCATATATTTCAACATGGGACACATCCTGTGAAGAAACCAGCAGAGAATCACGAAACAGGCACTGAGATGGGAAATCAAGTGATTAAGGAGGCAAAGACTCACAAAAAGAAAGCCTAAAACTGATGTTGATGAGAGCGGCCCAAGTTGCTGGCCTGGATTCCATCCATGATATTGAACGGATTGCCACGATAGAACGGATGACAGAATGGACTGTGCCGGCCCAATGTAACATCTAACAGCACAGCAGGGTCATGGATGAATATATTTCGACATCAGTGTCCAGGTTGAGACTATTCGAGTGGCGTGTGTAAACCTTTTTTTTTTTTTTTTTACCTAGTCGTCCTGGGTTTCTGGGGTGATAGGGTCTAATGCCAGATTAAAGAATGACTGACACAGAGAGTGTGTCTGGTTTGTGGCAGTGCCACCTCTGCTCTCATTGTCTAAAGATTTTAACAAAGTGATGTCTTGGTGTGGTCAAGTGACCTGGTTGTTGTTATATCTACAGTTTCGTAGAGAAGAAGATGCAGAGAGGGCAGTTGCAGACTTGAACAATCGCTGGTTCAATGGTCGTCCAATCAACTGTGAGCTGTCTCCAGTAACTGACTTCAGAGAGGCCTGCTGTCGACAGTATGAAATGGGGTGGGTATTACCTCCTGTCCATGTGGCAGTTACATAGCTTTCAGCGATGATCAGTGTTTGTCGTGTGTCCCATTGTGATGGCAATGCCAGCTACATCAAATGACTCATCTCTGTGATGTGAACAGCTATAAGGAATGATCAGTGTTTGTTTTGTGTCCCATTGTGATGACAACGCCAGCTACATCAAATGACTCATCTCTGTGATGTGAACAGCTATAAGGAATGATCAGTGTTTGTTGTGTGTCCCATTGTGATGGTAACGCCAGCTACATCAAATGACTCATCTCTGTGATGTGAACAGCTATAAGGAATGATCAGTGTTTGTTGTGTGTCCCATTGAGATGACAATGCCAGCTCCATCAAATGACTCATCTCTGTGATGTGAACAGCTATAAGGAATGATCAGTGTTTGTTGTGTGTCCCATTGATATGACAATGCCAGCTCCATCAAATGACTCATCTCTGTGATGTGAACAGCTATAAGGAATGATCAGTGTTTGTTGTGTGTCCCATTGATATGACAATGCCAGCTACATCAAATGACTCATCTCTGTGATGTGAACAGCTATAAGGAATGATCAGTGTTTGTTGTGTGTCCCATTGTGATGGTAACGCCAGCTCCATCAAATGACTTTGCTCTGTGACGTGAACAGCTATAAGGAATGATCAGTGTTTGTTGTGTGTCCCATTGTGATGGTAACGCCAGCTACATCAAATGACTCATCTCTGTGATGTGAACAGCTATAAGGAATGATCAGTGTTTGTTGTGTGTCCCATTGAGATGGCACTGCCAGCTCCATCAAATGACTTTGCTCTGTGACGTGAACAGCTATAAGGAATGATCAGTGTTTGTTGTGTGTCCCATTGAGATGGCAATGCCAGCTCCATCAGATGACTCATCTCTGTGATGTGAACGGCTATAAGGAATGATCCGTGTTTGTTGTGTGTCCCATTGAGATGACAATGCCAGCTCCATCAAATGACTCATCTCTGTGATGTGAACAGCTATAAGGAATGATCCGTGTTTGTTGTGTGTCCCATTGAGATGGCACTGCCAGCTCCATCAAATGACTCTCCTCTGTGATGTGAACAGCTATAAGGAATGATCAGTGTTTGTTGTGTGTCCCATTGAGATGGCACTGCCAGCTCCATCAAATGACTTTGCTCTGTGACGTGAACAGCTATAAGGAAAAGACACACAATGTTCTTTAATCATATGATGAGGGGAAGGCTTTGGAGAATAGTGTGACAACTGAGAAGATCAGCGGTAGATGAGTGGGAGGCAGAACTAGAAAGATGCTCAGGGATGGACTGCGGTGGTGGCACAGGAGGGATATCATAAGTGGAACTGATCCAGAGGACAAAGGGCTGAGATCTGTGGAGATGCATGAACACCTACGCCAGTTGGCCGGGCACATGATGATGTGATGTGAACATGAGCAGAAACAGTTGTCACATGAGAAGTAGAACTCAAAAACAACTTTTTGTTAGGCAGCTACAAAATATCATCATCTTCATCTTTGTACTAGATTCATCACAAAACAGCAGATCAGGTGGTTTGGTCATCTCATTAGAATGCAGCAGCATCAGATACCATCGCAGGCACTGAGTCTCAGAAGACTAGCTAGAAGACAAAAGGACAGCCTTGAAAAATGTGGATTGACAATATTAAAGACAATTTATGGCATGACAGTAGCTAGTGCCATCCTGCGCTATATCACAAATTATTCCTCCCTTTGACGTTTAACGGCAGAAGTGATTTATGATTCTTATTGTTTTATGCCAACATGTAACATTGTCTTCCTGCTTATATGCTTGCCATACTTTACTTTCTAGCACAAGGAGCTATGACCTGTGTGTACCCTGATTACCTTGCCTTCATCTAGTTCATTGTTTTACACATTGTGGTTTATTCAATATCTTTCTCTATCAGTTGTCCATGTTTTGTTGTTGTCTGTGCCTAGCAATTGTCCATGTTTCTTCACTACACAGTAGTGTAGGCACCTTGTCACTCCTAATTTGTGTTCAGTCCTCAGCTTTTCAGACATTACTTTGGCTATATCAGTTTGCAGATTACCAAATAGAAGCACAGAGACACATATTGACAAACAGCCCTCTCAACATAGAAGCACAGAGACACACATTTACAGACAGCCTCTCAACATAGAAGCACAGACACACATTGACAAACAGCCCTCTAAAACATAGAAGCACAGAGATACAAATTGACAAACAGCCCTCTCAACATAGAAGCACAGAGACACACATTGACAGACAGCCCTCTCAACATAGAAGCACAGAGACACACATTGACAGACAGCCCTCTCAACATAGAAGCACAGAGACACACATTGACAAACAGCTCTCTCAACATAGAAGCACAGAGACACACATTGACAGACAGCCCTCTCAACATAGAAGCACAGAGACACACATTGACAAACAGCCCTCTCAACATAGAAGCACAGAGACACACATTGACAAACAGCTCTCTCAGAGAGACACACATTGACAGACAGCCCTCTCAACATAGAAGCACAGAGACACACATTGACAAACAGCCCTCTCAACATAGAAGCACAGAGACACACATTGACAAACAGCCCTCTCAACATAGAAGCACAGAGACACATATTGACAAACAGCCCTCTCAACATAGAAGCACAGAGACACACATTGACAAACAGCCCTCTCAACATAGAAGCACAGAGACACATATTGACAAACAGCCCTCTCAACATAGAAGCACAGAGACACACATTGACAAACAGCCCTCTCAGCATAGAAGCACAGAGACACACATTGACAAACAGCCCTCTCTGTGTGCTTTTATACCACTTTCTTGGATTCTGTCTCTCCCCCTCTCTTTGCCGCTCCCTCCCTCCCTCTTTCCCCGTGCTCCGGCTTAGCGTGCGATCCGACTCGTAACCCAGCTTATCGCTATCGTAACCCACTGCGTCGCAGGGATTTTTATCATGGTACCAGCCGTTGCAGGTGGACCCAGCGTAAAATGGGTACCAGGATGGGCTGTCCTGGGAAAGTAATGACAGCCGGCGTAATGCTGACCACATTACCCACCGAGTGCTGATGGTCTGTAAAAATATGGGCGCTCTTGCCATATGCCCGATACGCCTAAAGGGGTGGAAAGGGATCTTTACTTCTTTTTTTTTACCCTTTTCCCACACCCTGTCGCTTTCCTTCATCCTTTCACTACTTGCATCTCCCTCATCCTGTCCCTGCTTCTAGAAAGGTTGGTGAATCTGGCTGGTCACCTTGCGACAGATGCTTCTTTCACCTTGTGTGAGTTCTGTGCTAGTGTTCCCCCCAGTCCCATGCTGTCGCCTGACACTTAAACAACCTCTGTATAGGCGGACAGAGTGAATGCAGAGAAGTATAATTGGCTCGTCTGTTGGTAGTACTTTATTCCTTACTGACATATTGGTGTCGTCTTTCCAGAGAGTGTACGCGGGGTGGCTTCTGCAACTTTATGCATCTGAAGCCCATCTCCAGAGAACTAAGGAGGGAATTGTACGGGCGTGGCCGCAAGAAAAGCAGAAGGTAGGTCTTGTAGTTTCTACAGGTTATAAAACAGTGTTATTTACTAGTTCTATGGAGGCTGAGGCATTCATTCTCTCGCAGGTCAAGCTGTGGCAGAATACACTCAATGCAAGGACACACAAGACGGAAGTCAGTTCACATTAGCCACAAGTTTAAGACCACCCAATCAATTGTGCCCATGATGCTACTGAGTACTACATCCACTGCTGTTTTAGGACCCTTTGAAAGTAGTCATCATTGAGTTAAGAACTGACATCACAGCACTCAGGCATTCCCAAATGCCCTCTGTCCCCATCCTCAGCAGCCAGCGCAGAGTTCCAGTACTAATGGTGCCGGTCGTAATCTGGTTGTGTGTCAGTTTTGCCTTGCCTCTGAGCGTAGTGTGCTAGCCGAACCCTCTGGTCATACCCAAGGTGCGTCATTCTCTCCAGCTCATAATAATAATCTAGTTTCTCTTTTGACTTCTTTACTTGTTCCCAAAGGGGAAAGCAGTCATCATTCTGTCCTAAGAAAGTAGTTGATGCAAAACCTCACAAAACTGAGATGTTAGTTACTGGGTGGTTGTACATTTTATGGCAGCCACTGTAGCATGTGGGCTTATGCTCCATTGGGGGCTAGAAAGACAGAAGAAGACTGTAGCATGTTCACACAAGAAAGTATTTACCTCGCAGATTTATAGAGCAAAATTTAAAGGTAAAAGAACTAAGAAGACCCTACAAACACAGGGATAAGAAACCTGAGAATAGAATTGGGCTACAAACCTCTAGCTGATTGGCAAGTCCAGGAATTTGGAAGTCTGGTTAGATATTTTCTTGCACAGATAGTTCCATTCAATATGTTTGTTAGTTTTTATTCAATATGTCTGTTACATTTATAGCTCTGTTCATCACTTCTGTTAGTTGATAGTTCCATTCATCGCATCCGTTAATTGATAGTTCCATTCATCACATCCGTTACATTGATAGCTCCATTCATCATATCCCTTACATTGATAGTTCCATTCATCGCATCCGTTACATTGATAGCTCCATTCATCATATCCCTTACATTGATAGTTCCATTCATCGCATCCGTTACATTGATAGTTCCATTCATCACATCCGTTAAATTGATAGCTCCATTCATCACATCCCTTACATTGATAGTTCCATTCATCACTTCCCTTACATTGATAGTTCCATTCATCACTTCCCTTACATTGATAGTTCCATTCATCACTTCCCTTACATTGATAGTTTCCATTCATCACTTCTGTTACATTAGTAGTTCCATTCATCACATCTCTTACATTGATAGTTCCATTAATCGCGTCCGTTACATTGATAGTTCCATTAATCGCATCCCTTACATTGATAGTTCCATTGATCGCATCCCTTACATTGATAGTTCCATTCATCACATCCATTACATTGATAGTTCCATTCATCGCATCCCTTACATTGATAGTTTCATTCATCACCTCCGTTACGTTGATAGTTCCATTCATCGCATCCCTTACATTGATAGTTTCATTCATCACCTCCATTATATTGATAGTTCCATTCATCACTTCCGTTACATTGATTGTTCCATTCATCACATCCGTTACATTGATAGTTCTATTCATCATCACCCTTACATTGATAGTTCCATTCATCGCATCTGTTACATTGATAGTTCTATTCATCATATCCCTTACATTGATAGTTCCATTCATCACATCCGTTACATTGATAGTTCCATTCATCACTTATGTTACTTTGATAGTTCTATTCATCACATCCCTTACATTGATAGTTCCATTCATCGCATCTGTTACATTGATAGTTCCATTTAACACTTCCGTTACTTTTAAACCATAAAGTAAATATAGGCCTGATATATAAAGTCCATAAAACGTGTGTAATATTTTTCTGTTTACAAATTTATTTCAGATCAAGTGTGTAAGTTCCATGTAACAAGTTTTTAAAAAAAAACTAAAAATTTTCATTCAGGTCTATAATACAAAAGTTCCACATAACAAATTAATATGTAAATTACCTTCAACTCTAAATTTATTCTTCCATGTGCCATATTTGTTCAATTTTTCACATAGTCAATTTAAGTCCAACAAAAAGTTCCATTTAACATATTTTTCACATATCTCATTCAGGTCCAGCACGTAAGTTGCGTGTTACAGACCTGTAACATTTATGTTAAATATTTTTGTTTCATGAGTGGTAGTACCCCTCAAAAGGTTTATCATAGTTTTTTTTTCTTCTAGATCTAACATAAAAGAGATTCTATGTAACATTTGTCAGATTTTCTCTTGATCTAACATAAAAGAGATTCCTTGTAACATTTGTAAGATTTTTTTCTAGATCTAACATAAAAGAGATTCCTTGTAACATTTGTAAGATTTTTTTCTAGATCTAACATAAAAGAGATTCTTTGTAACATTTGTCAGATTTTCTCTTGATCTAACATAAAAAAGATTCCTTGTAACATTTGTCAGATTTTTTTCTAGATCTAACATAAAAGAGATTCCTTGTAACATTTGCCAGATTTTTTTCCTAGATCTAACATAAAAGGGATTCCTTGTAACATTTTTCAGATTTTTTCTAGATCTAACATAAAAGAGATTCTTTGTAACATTTGTCAGATTTTCTCTTGATCTAACATAAAAAAGATTCCTTGTAACATTTGTCAGATTTTTTTCTAGATCTAACATAAAAGAGATTCCTTGTAACATTTGCCAGATTTTTTTCTAGATCTAACAAAAGAGATTCCTTGTAACATCTGTCAGATTTTTTCTCAATCTAACAGAAAAGAGTTTTTTTTTTTTTTTTTAAACATTTTTCAGATTTGTTCTTGATCTAACATAAAAGAGTTTCCTTGTAAAAATTTTTTTTAGATTTTTCCTAGATCTAACATAAAAGAGATTCCTTGTAACATTTGTCAGATTTTTTTTCTAGATCTAACATAAAAGAGATTCCTTGTAACATTTGCCATATTTTTTTTTCTAGATCTAACAAAAGAGATTCCTTGTAACATCTGTCAGATTTTTTCTTGATCTAACATAAAAGAGATTCTTTGTAACATTTTTTAGATTTTTTTTTGGGGGGGGGGGGGGGGGGGGGGGGGGGGATCTAACATAAAAAAAATATCCTTGTAACATTTGTAATGTTTTCTAGATTTAACATAAAAGAGATTCCTTGTAACATTTGTAAGATTTTTTCTTGATCTAACATAAAAGAGATTCCTTGTAACATTTGTCAGATTTTTTTCTTGATCTAACATAAAAGATTCCTTGTAACATTTGTCATGTTTTCTAGATCTAACATAAAAGATTCCTTGTAACATTTGTCATGTTTTCTAGATCTAAGATAAAAGAGATTCCTTGTAACATTTGTCAGACTTTTTTCCTCACATATTTCATTCAGGTCTAGCATGTAAGTTCCGCATACCATATTTGTTCTTTGTAAAAGTTGCATGTAATATTTGTCATATTTTTTCCTATTTCATTCATTTCCGGTTTACAGTTGTGTATATTTTTCAAAGTATATTTTTCACAGATTATTCATTTCTGTTACAGAGTACGATCTAGCATATTTTGTCAATTTTGTTTTAAAAATATTTTATTCAGGTCCAGTTCAGAGTTACATGTAACACATTTGTTTATATTATTGACATATTCATTTACAATTTAAAGTTCTGTGAAACATACGAGGGGAAGTGTTTTATATTATTGAACATATTCATTTACAATTTAGAGTTTTGTGTAACATATGAGGGGAAGTCAATAAGTAAGTCGCAAATGGTTATGGGATGGCAGGAAAATGTAGATGGTGGTTTCTAAAGGTGTTATTAGGTCACAGCAACATCAAACTTTATGTCTCAGTTCGTTAGGTGGCGCTAGGTGTTGCACAAGCATTCGCAACACGGGAGAAAAATGGCGACTATATTTACGGAGTGTGCCCTCAAAGAACAATGTGCCGCTGTGCGTTTTTATGGGAAGGGGGGGGGGGGGGCCTGCAAAGGACATTTGTAAGGAAATGCTTTCTGTTTATGCTGACAAATGTTTACCCCATATAGCTGTGCATAGCTGGGTGAAAAGATTGTCTCATCTGGTCGTCCTGTTGAGATTGCAATAAACGTATTTGTGCAGTGGATGGGGAGATGATTAGAGGTAACAGTCGAGTAACGGTTGACTCTGTAGCAGCTGCAGTAGGGAGCTAACATGTCTCAGCATACACTGAAAACCCATTTTGGTGGGAGACATTTGCTGAAGTTGAATGTGAAGTCAAAATGTGGTTTAGAAAATAGAGCACGCAGTTCTATGCAGTAGGTTTTTGAGGACTGATAAAACGATGAGACAAGTGCATCAATGTTGGTGGAAATTAGGTTGAAAAATATAGGGAAAGTGTATGTGTAGAAATAAATGGTTTTCAAGTTGTCATCATCTTTATAAATTTTTTTTTAAAAACCATTTGTAACTTACTTATTTACCCTGTATTTTTCACAAATTCCGTTCAGGTCTAGCTTGTAAGTCCTCTGCAACATATCTGTCAATTTTTGTCTTCACATATTTCATTACAGGTCCAATTCAAATTTAAATGTAACAGATTTCTTTTATATTTCTCACATGCACAATCATTCCATTTCCATTTTAAAGTTCCCTGCAACATATTTTGCATTCATTTCCATTTCAACGTTCCATGCTACATAATTTTCATTCATTTCCATTTCAATATTCCATGCAACATAATTTTCATTCATTTCCATGTCAACGTTCCATGCAACATAATTTTCATTCATTTCCATGTCAACGTTCCATGCAACATAATTTTCATTCATTTCCATGTCAACGTTCCATGCAACATAATTTTTATTCATTTCCATGTCAACGTTCCATGCAACATAATTTTCATTCATTTCCATTTCAACGTTCAGAATACCATGTAACATATATTTTCACATATTTCATGTATTTGCCCGTAACATTTTTTTCATGTTTTCACACGTATTCATTCAGGTCTAGCATGTAAGTGCCATGCAACATATTTTGTCATTTGTTTCCACCATCATATTTCATTTACATCCAGTATACAATTTCTGTGTGACAGTTGACATTTTGCAAATTGCATCCTTGTAACATTTTTAGACAATATTTCATTCAGGTCTAACATAACATTTGTCATGTTTTTCACATATTTCCTTCAGGTCTAACATAACATTTGTCATATTTCTCAGATGTTTCATTCAGGTCCAACATAACATTTGTCATATTTCTCAGATGTTTCATTCATGTCCAACATAACATTTGTCATATTTCTCAGATGTTTCATTCAGGTCCAACATAACATTTGTCATATTTCTCAGATGTTTCATTCAGGTCCAACATAACATTTGTCATATTTCTCAGATGTTTAATTCAGGTCCAACATAACATTTGTCATATTTCTCAGATGTTTCACTCAGGTCCAACATAACATTTGTCATATTTCTCAGATGTTTCATTCAGGTCCAACAAAACATTTGTCATATTTCTCAGATGTTTCACTCAGGTCCAACATAACATTTGTCATATTTTTCACATATTTCACTCAGGTCTAGCATGTAAGTTCCATTTTTTTCATTTAGGTCCAACATAAAAGTTCCTTTAACCGCATGTGTTGTTTGTTTCATATATTTCATTTAGGTCCAATATAGGTTACATGTTTTATTTCAGGTCCAGTGTAAACGTTATAATTTTTTTATATATTCTATTCACGTCAGAAAAGTTATATATTTTATTTTAATATCCCATAGTGCATCTGCCTGAGAGGTGAAAAACCAAGAGTCTGCTTAGAAATAAGCGAGATCTGTAAACAGATATGCACGTAAAACTCAAGTTCTATAACAAGACTGGTCCAGAAGTGGACGAACAACCAGAACTTTCCACAGGAGTTTACAGCCGTTGAAAAACGAAAAAGAAAAAAGTATTTTTAATAATTTAATTCAGGTCCAGTATAAAAGTTCTGTGTAACATATATGTTACGTCTGCACTCACATCCAACATAAAAAGTTGTCCTTGTCACAGATGTTTGTTCTGTTTTCACATTCAACATAAAAAGTTGTCCTTGTAACATGTTTGTTCTGTTTTCACATCCAACATAAAAAGTTGTTCTTGTAACATGTTTGTTCTGTTTTCACATTCAACATAAAAAGTTGTCCTTGTAACATGTTTGTTCTGTTTTCACATCCAACATAAAAAGTTGTCCCTGTAACATGTTTGTTCTGTTTTCACATCCAACATAAAAAGTTGTCCTTGTAACATGTTTGTTCTGTTTTCACATCTAACATAAAAAGTTGTCCTTGTAACATGTTTGTTCTGTTTTCACATCCAACATAAAAAGATGTTTGTTCTGTTTTTACATCCAACATAAAAAGATGTTTGTTCTGTTTTCACATCCAACATAAAAAGATGTTTGTTCTGTTTTCACATCCAACATAAAAAAATGTTTGTTCTGTTTTCACATCCAACATAAAAAGATGTTTGTTCTGTTTTCACATTCCATTCAGGTCTAGGTCCCGTTCTCCACCAACAAGCAGCAGTGGCAGACGGAGGTCTCGAAGCAGGGAGCGCCGTGACAGGAGACGATCTCGATCACGGGATCGACATGGCCGCTACTGAGATCCATGAAATACCCACAATCCTCATGCTCATCTTTGAGATGAACGTTTAGCACAAGCTGTGTCAGAAACCTGGCACATGTGTTGTTACTTCAGTTAACAAGTTGGCTGGTGCCGTGTTCAGTGCTTCGTTTATTTGTTATGGTTTTTGCAACAATCTTTTCTATTGGCAATTGTTTGCTGGTATTCCTGGGTTCAGCAATCTGATGTGTCTCTTATTCATCATTTCCTTTTGAAATACTTTGGTCTTTTGAATCTTACAGTATTGGTAAAGGGGACTTATTTCTATCAAAGTTACTAGTTTATTTTTGTTTAAATTTAAATTTGCTGTTGCTTGTTTGTTTTATTGCACACAGAGTTTGGGAGGGGAGTCTGAAAACTAGGGAATGCTAAGTATCCTTGAGTTGTCCAGAGTGGATCAGTTCATGCTGACAGAGTTGCACTGTTCGAGATCTGTACTCCTGGCTAAATTATTTGTGATTTTTCTGTTTACAAATTCTAAGTGCATCTGTTAGAGAGGTGAGGAACCAGCAGTCGGTATACAGATAGGCCAACAGCTGTCAAACGGATGGTCACGCAAAACTTGAGTTCTGGAACCAGACCAAAGTCCAGAAGTGGACGAACAGACAGAACTTTCCACTGAAGTTTACAGTCGGTAAACAGTAATAATAATATTGTGAATTTGCCGTGCTTCTTCGTTGCAGCTTCCTGGAGAACACCTGGAGCCAATGGCTGACTCTGTCATCAGGTGGTGGGGGGCTGGTGCAGTAATTATAGATGAATTCTGAAGTTATTACTTAGTGGTGAGCGATAGACCTGACTACTTACGGCACCTTTGAAGGCACTGCCGTGAGCTCATTTAGTGTTCAGTGTTCTTTTTATTGCTAGAATATTTCAATTCATGGCACCAGATTCGTATATGTCTCATCCGCAAGTACCTTTACATTGTACAAATTCATGGATTCTCATGCGTGTGTATACCGTCACGTACAGAACCTCCAGATTCTCATCATTACATCCATGTCTCACAACGTGGGTTCTCAAGCATAAAAATAGACACCCCCCCCCCCTCCTCCTTGTCCCACCTGCACACACACACACCAAGAAGTATGTCCTGAACATTGACTAGTTGAGTGTTTCCTTCAAGTCTTAGTACATCTGTTTGAAAGGTGTAGAGTCAACATTTGGCAAGAAAATTAATAAGCCAGGTCTTTAAACGGTTATGCACACAAGTTCTGGAACCAGACAAAAGTCCAGAAGTGAAAGAAAAAAAACCAGAACTTTTCTGCTGGAGTTCACAACCGTTGTACACAGAGGAGGAGGAGGTGGTGACACCCATAAATAGCCTGATATAGGTACCAGTACATGTCTTGGGGAGGAAAGGTGCTGCCATAATCACATGGCTTACTGAGTATCAGTTGGTCTGTATACTCATAACCACTCCAACAACACTCGTCGTCATCATCATGTGCCCTGCCAACCAACAACACTGGACTATAGGTATTTCATAACCATTTTGTAGTGCCCCAGTAAAACTGCTATATGGCTATACGGTTGAACAGTGATTTCAGGATTGGTACCAGTTTGATTCTCATCCTTGAGATGTTAAACCTACAGACTGCAATCCTGGAGGGGTGTTGCTGTGGTGTAGCAGCTGGGCGCTCGTCTATAGATCGAAGGTCGTGGGTTCAAATCTGCATGAGTCAGATTTTTTTCAGACTTGACCTTGGCTCCCAGGTTGACCCAGCCTTAAATGGGCAACAGGTAAAGTCTTAGGAAATAAAGGCGGTCGGTGTGATGTTAACTACATCACCACCATCAAGTGCTGATTGGTCTATAAAAATATGCGTGCACAAACACATATATACAGGACTGCCATAATATGTCCAGTCTATCTCAAGGCATGGAAGCCAGTCATTAACCTTTTACACAAACATACAAACACATTGATTACTTGTACAATCAAATGGTACCTTTTACACAAACATACAAACACATTGATTACTTGTACAATCAAATGGTACCTTTTACACAAACATACAAACACATTGGTAACTTGCACAATCAAATGGTACCTTTTACACAAACATACAAACACATTGATTACTTGTACAATCAAATGGTACCTTTTACACAAACATACAAACACATTGGTAACTTGCACAATCAAATGCTACCTTTTACACAAACATACAAACACATTGGTAACTTGTACAATCAAATGTTACCTTTTACACGAACATACAAACACATTGGTAACTTGTACAATCAAATGCTACCTTTTACACAAACATACAAACACATTGGTAACTTGTACAATCAAATGCTACCTTTTACACAAACATACAAACACATTGGTAAATTGTACAATCAAATGCTACCTTTTACACAAACATACAAACACATTGATTACTTGTACAATCAAATGCTACCTTTTACACAAACATACAAACACATTGGTAATTTGTACAATCAAATGCTACCTTTTACACAAACATACAAACACATTGGTAACTTGTACAATCAAATGCTACCTTTTACACGAACATACAAACACATTGGTAACTTGTACAATCAAATGCTACCTTTTACACAAACATACAAACACATTGGTAACTTGTACAATCAAATGCTACCTTTTACACAAACATACAAACACATTGGTAAATTGTACAATCAAATGCTACCTTTTACACAAACATACAAACACATTGATTACTTGTACAATCAAATGCTGCCTTTTACACAAACATAGAAACACATTGATTACTTGTACAATCAAATGCTACCTTTTACACAAACATACAAACACATTGGTAATTTGTACAATCAAATGCTACCTTTTACACAAACATACAAACACATTGGTAACTTGTACAATCAAATGCATATTTGTTTCAACTTATGTTGTCAGATTAAATTTTATTACAGTTACCATGTTTTATTGTTTGTTTGTTTCAGTGGTCCGGTAACCTGATCTGTACATAACTGGGTTATACTAAGAACTCAAATCACAGCACTCGGGACATTTCTGAAAGTACTCCTCCTCCCCGTCTTCAGAAGCCATGGCCTGGTCACTCCTGACTGCACCATTGTCTGTAGACCGTATTGATCTGTACGCTGTCCACAACTTTGCTGTCTAGAACTTTCTTAAAATGTCTTGTATCAATAGAAAAATTCCTATGTGGGTTCCTGGCCTCCGTTCTAGGGAAACCAAGAATAGACCCACTGCTCCAGGCCTCGGTTCTAGGGAAACCAAGAATAGACCCACTGCTCCAGGCCTCCGTTCTAGGGAAACCAAGAATAGACCCACTGCTCCAGGCCTCCGTTCTAGGGAAACCAAGAATAGACCCACTGCTCCAGGCCTCCGTTCTAGGGAAACCAAGAATAGACCCACTGCTCCAGGCCTCCGTTCTAGGGAAACCAAGAATAAACCTACTGCTCCAGGCCTCCGTTCTAGGGAAACCAAGAATAGACCCACTGCCTTCCCGACAAGCATGTTGTAGAAGTTGACTAATTGGGGGTTTCCTTTGAAGTTGGAGTGTATCTGCCTGAGAGGCAAGGAATCAAGTCTGCATACAAATTAGTCAGATCTTCAAACCGGATGTGCACGCAACACTCAGGTTATGGAGCAAAATTAAAGTTGTGAAGTGAACGAACAACCAGAATGTTCTGCCAGAGTTTACAGCCAGTGAATGCGAAGGAAAAGTCGTAGAAATTTTTTTTTTTTTTTTAAAAGATCTATCTCTGTTATTATTTCTCTGTTATGGGTACCATCGGAATTGGAACTCTGCGCTTGCTGCTCAAGAAGGGGACGGAGTGCTTATGTGAGCGTACTGAGTGCTGTGATGTTGATTCTTCGTTAAACACAAATTATACCATTAAATCAAACTAGCCACTCACCCTTCTTCTGAATACCACAACACAAACAGGTACAGATGCAAGGCATCCTCACTAAATACACATTTGACACCTCCACTACCTTTGCCACAGTTGTTACCTTGTCCTACCTTTAGCACAGTTAACTTCTACTTTTAGCACAGTTGTTACCATGTACCACCTTTAACACCGTTACCTCCATTAACTTATGTACAGTTCTTACCCTGTACTACCTTAAGCACAGTTGCTAACCTCCACTACCTTAAGCACAGTTGCTAACCTCCACTACCTTAAGCACAGTTGCTAACCTCCACTACCTTAAGCACAGTTGCTAACCTCCACTACCTTAAGCACAGTTGCTAACCTCCACTACCTTAAGCACAGTTGCTAACCTTCACTACCTTAAGCACAGTTGCTAACCTCCACTACCTTAAGCACAGTTGCTAACCTTCACTACCTTAAGCACAGTTGCTAACCTTCACTACCTTTAGCACAGTTGCTAACCTCCACTACCTTAAGCACAGTTGCTAACCTCCACTACCTTAAGCACAGTTGCTAACCTCCACTACCTTAAGCACAGTTGCTAACCTTCACTACCTTAAGCACAGTTGCTAACCTCCACTACCTTAAGCACAGTTGCTAACCTTCACTACCTTAAGCACAGTTGCTAACCTCCACTACCTTAAGCACAGTTGCTAACCTTCACTACCTTAAGCACAGTTGCTAACCTCCACTACCTTAAGCACAGTTGCTAACCTTCACTACCTTAAGCACAGTTGCTAACCTCCACTACCTTAAGCACAGTTGCTAACCTCCACTACCTTAAGCACAGTTGCTAACCTTCACTACCTTAAGCACAGTTGCTAACCTCCACTACCTTAAGCACAGTTGCTAACCTTCACTACCTTAAGCACAGTTGCTAACCTCCACTACCTTAAGCACAGTTGCTAACCTTCACTACCTTAAGCACAGTTGCTAACCTCCACTACCTTAAGCACAGTTGCTAACCTCCACTACCTTAAGCACAGTTGCTAACCTTCACTACCTTGAGCACAGTTGCTAACCTCCACTACCTTAAGCACAGTTGCTAACCTCCACTACCTTAAGCACAGTTGCTAACCT